AAAATCTGTTCCTGAATTCTCAAAAATTTTGTCAGTTTTTTCTAGAATATGATTTTTCCTAAACAGCTGTAGCTCTTAAAAACATTGATAATTATTTATAGTGTGAAGCTACTAAACTCTTAAATTTTTTTGACCGTCTAATTTTAATTTATAAAAAAGTGCCAATTTTCAATTTAGCAGAACATTGTTTTATTTAATTATTAAAATTTAAAATTTCACATTTGCAAACCAAATTGATTTACGCCATCAAAAAAATTTGAAACATCCAATTAAAATTAATTTTGCGTAGGTATAGTTTTTGTCAATTAATTACCAATTTTGTGAAAACTAAAAGAAAACTAATCAATCACAATTACTATTGTTTTCAAATAGGTGCTAATTGCTTCCGTTCACAAACTTTACTTTCCACATCAGAAAATATTTTTTTTTAATTGTTATTTCTAAAATACATAGTAAAAATTAAAGCTTTTTTAAGATATATAAATGTTTAAAAAAAATTCTTTTATCTCTATTTTTAAGTACCTAGTTGAGCCGTAAATTTTTTATTAATTACCGTTTTAGTGAAAACTTTTCACATTTACGGCGCATGTTAAGTAATTATTCGAAATTAGTTACTTGTATCAGAAGATGGCTAAACGAAAGAAAGTTGACTGAAAGTCTACGCATTACTGGAAGTTTTTATTCCTCATAATCTCATCATAATATATTAAGAATTAAAAAGGAAAAGGCGTCACACCGATCCATGTTTATTGGTCGATAAATTTAAAGAAAAAAAAACGGTTATTAAATCAGATAAAACAAACATTTGAAATAATTATTTACACAATCTAGAAAATTGCAGAATAATTCAAGAGTTTTTTTATCGCTCAATTAACCCAAATTGGAGCAAAAATAAACATGTTTATGTTTTTTGGGGATACCCCGACAATTTCAAGTTCTTGAGTATAATAATTAAGAAAATTTATAGTTTTGGTCATTGGCAATTAACCCAAAGCTGGCGGAAATCCGTTCCTAATCCTCGAAGCAAAACAATTGACAAGAATTTAATTTTTATTTATTTAAAGAAATTTTTATTTTTATTTTTTTAAACGAAAACAAGGAACTGTTTGCCCTTACATAACCCTCAGTGAATGTTCTTATTATCAGATGAGCAAAAAGTCGACATTTACAATAGAAACCTCGTGTGAGTGACCCGAAGAAGTCCTCCGCGTCCATCTATCAATTCTCACGATGTTATAACAAATTTACTTTCGCTTCCTCGACATAGTGCACCGCAATTTGACCAATTGAGGGCAGTGGAGCTCCAACGACGCGTTAAATTTCCACTGTATGACACCACAAAGAGCTTAAAACGAAAGCATGTTGGGGAATTTTCCGAGATTTTTGACTATGTGCAGCATCTTTCGGTGCTTTCACCGGTTTGTTTATTAAAAGCAGTTTCACTCACTTATTGTTATTTATTTTTAATTATCAACGTGGAATTGCACAATTTCAATTAAAGTGCGTTTATATGGGAGATAATAGAGAAGAAAGTGGCAGGTTTCAAACTGGACAAGAGCGAGAATTTCGGTGGGTGGTGGCCATATTTGGGAGGAATGTTAATGCAAATTTTGGCTTTTTGTGGTCACACCGGAAATGTAATAGAGAATTGTTATCATGGTCATAAAATTTGCATAATTGCATATTAGGTTTTGTGAGCTATTGCTGCAGGCTGGAGTAAAAGTGAACAGTGGGTCATCGAGGATGAATGTGAAATCGACTTCGGAAGTCGTGCTCTGCCGTCAAAAGTTCAAGTGGATTTGAGGCGAAGATTCCGCTCAGGAATCTAATTATGTGTATTCCGGCTGTTATATGAAAGCAAAATGTTTTAAATGTTTATAACTGATAGATTTTACTTTTTTGACATCTTGGTGAAAAACTCTACAACAAGAAAAGTACTAGAATCGCTGTGGTACAATTTGTAAATTGCAGTAATTTGAAACATGTTGGGTTGGTATCATGATACATCCGGATATTCCTACGCGGACAGTGTTTTGACACAATTTTGACACTTTTTTATTGTAAAAGTTATAAAATACGCAAAATTGTCCCATGTAGAGTACCATGAATGATGTTACCAACACATTATTTTAAATATTATTCTAAATATTTTTATTACAATTTTGGGAGGTTAAGATATATCGACTAACATTCAAATTATTATTGTTTAGCAAGGAAATGAAATAGTTAATAAAGAACTATAATTATTTTATGCTCTTTTTTCAAGACACTACTACTAAAATGTATTTTCCAGCGAAATTTCAAAGGTACTACTTTCTGGGCGGAGGATGTCGGCAACTTACTAGTTAACTTTTCTGTCACTATTCTATCATTATATAAACTATAGAAATACATTCATATCTTACCCATAAAGCAGTTTTTCTTTTATTTTTTGGTAATCAAAATGAATTTTTGATTAGGACGAGAAAATAAGCGAAATCATGTAGAAGACGATAAAAAAATTAAAACTACATAAAAAATGAGAACTATAAAGAAATCGAGAAAATATCTTATCTAGAATGTTTCCCTTTGTTGGAAACTGAAAAATTTATCGTTATCCCATATTTTGATTTATACCTACAGAGTGGTATCTTTACTAAATTCTTATAAAAAAAACACACAGGGTGTTTACAGTCTTGGAGTTGAAAATTAAACTAGTAATAGAAGAGTACAGAAATACTGTAACCGAGAAAAAAAATCTCACAATTGTTATTATTAAGAATGCTATTTACCTCCAAAATATTGGAACACGGTTTGAGATCCACTGGAATTATTTTCTTGTTCAGATAAAATTATATTGTTGCAACAGATAAAAAAATCGTATCCATGACAATGATAGAGAAAAGTCACTTCATAGTTTTGACACTGTCATCATATTGTTTGCTTTTGCTTTAGTTTTTAGCAAAAATCAAAGATCTTCTGTTTAATCTCATTCAGTGTAATAGTTTCTAATAGGTTTGATTTGTTTTTATTAATTTTTGCAAAGTAATGAACATATATGACAAATAATAAAATAATAAATAATTGGTTGTCGTGGTTATGATTTACGGTGAAACACAAGGTAATGATACTAATGGCCATTGTTGCATCCGAAGCAGCAGTTCTCAAACAAATAGAATAAAACGAATTATTTTCTTTAACAACGTAAATTTTTAATTAATTTTTTAAATTTATATAGCGTATTAGTTTTTTTCTACCGTGAAAATCGTCTCATTTAAATTTCAACCTCAAGACCGTAAACACCCTGTATACGAGATCGTCAGTATTGTTAAATAGACATAAAAAATGTCAAATATCAAAAAATAAAAGTCAAATTTTTTTGACACGTAGAATTTTCAAACTTTTTTCCTTGTTTCTAGATATCTTATCTTGTTTGAAATTTTTTTCGGAGGCGCGAGTTATGTTATGGAACAAAACGTTTTTTTAAACCAAAGAATAATACTTACTTAATAGATAAAAAAATAAAGTGTTATAAAACATGTGATCGTGTTCTGTGAATAGAATTTTGTGTTGAGTTTTTTTTTTTCGTCAAAATAACAACTTCTATAAAAATATCGACAAAAAGCATATGGTAGAAAATTAATTAATTAATTTCCTAATAATTCAGCAGTTATTAGCAATAGATCGCTCTAAGTACCAAAAATTGTCCATTGTCCAACATTTTGTCAAAAATTTTAAAATTGTAATCTTTAAAATTGATCAAAATGCATTTGAAAGGGTCTAAAAGTACATGAAACGTCGTAGAAACACAAAAATTAAATATTTTAAAAATTTTTGTATGAAGTTCTATTTCTCAAAAAAATTTGACATTTATGTTTTGACATTTAACATTTTTTTTATGTTTCATAACTTTGAAATTTTTATAAATAGAATTTTTTTAGTGTATTTTCCATGTTGCTAGTATCTTACCTTATTACATGATATTTTTCTCTGGGGCGCGAGTTCTGGCGCACCATGTATAGTGTTAGTGTTGGTATTATTTGAAAAGACTTTAAGATAACGAACATTTTAAGGTAAATGTATTCTTAGATGATTATTATTATTATTAACAACTTAAATTTGAACATTTTTACACTTGAAATGTAAAATAATTAAACATTTAAAAGCAATTATTCAAATTTGACACAGTACTACTTTTCAGCGCGTAACTTTAAAAAGTTTAATTTCTCTCGATAAACAGATTAATTAGATACAGTTGTTTCAATGAAATTTAAAAAAAACATTGTTTATATTGTTAACGTTCCAAACCAATTCAAGTACGAAGATGATACTTATCCAATAATTCTTATATTTAATCTATGCAACCAAATATACACATCTGTATATTACTTTGCCTATTTTAACATCAACAAAAACTAGAATTTTCGTTTTAAAATTACATAAACTCAAAATATTTCAAAAGTCGGCCAACAATTTAATTAGAAAATAGTACTCGAAAAAACTGATTAAAGCAGGTCGCAAATTGTTAAAAAGCATGTTGGGGTTCAGTTTCAAACCGCGAATAAATTTACATAATTTTCTCCTTATCTCATTTCATTGCACCTAATGAACTGCATCTCTGTTTCTCTGCATTTTTACAATTTAAGTACATTGTCAAGGGTACTTTCCTTTAACAAAAGCGGTGGTTCTACATCAGTGAAAGTAGTCAACGAAAGTGATATTTTCAATAATAGCGATAATTGTTAATCAATAGATCACTAATTACAATTTATTTTACAAGAAATAAACGCTAATTACAATAATTGCAACTTGTGGCACGTGCAAGATTTTTTTTCAAGAATCTATTGACCCGAAAGAGGAAATAATATTGAAATAATTGGAGTGTGATAATGATAATTGACTTAATCATTGGAAAAGCATTGAAACAGAAAAAAAACTAATTACTTGTCTTTTTTATTTTGCTTTAAAAACAACGTAAAAACAGTGTGTTTAAGTTATTTTCAATAAAAAAAGCCACAATGTGAGTTTAAATTAATTTATTGTATATCTCTGGTTAGAAAACATGTACTTTTTGTTATTAATGTATAGTCACCCTCGATTAGAATTACAAAATAAACCAACAAAAAAAATCATCAGCTTAAAATAATAGCACATAAAACATTACTTTTACAAATATATACATCTATGCATTTTTCAATATAAATAATTCCACTACACTAAATTGAGCCGCCATTTTCCATTGCACGTATCATCACTTCTGCTGTTTACTCTCCGCCACGACGATATTCGTCACCGAATCGGTGGGATTAAACACCCACTGTTTAAAACTACTCTCGACCCCGCCATTGGTCGAGACTTGCACCACATGCTCCTCCTCCTGCTTACGGGGCGGCACCGTCGGCCGCCCGCCCAAAACCGGCAGTCCCGACGGAATCTTCGAGTTGCTCCGAATCGACGTAACAGTCACATTCTTGGGCGGTTTCATCTTGGGGGTGGAGTGAACAGTCGACGACATCAACTCGAGGATGTCCTTGTCGTTCTCCATGTCGAGATTCCGCGAATCCCGACGCTCCGGCGACGTGGGCGGAGTCTTGGCCGTGGTCGCGATGGGGATCCGCGATTTGGGCGTGTCGGGCTTGACTCTGGGCGGGCTCTTCTCGAAGTTCGAACGCAGGAGTTCGATTTGCGACTGGCGCTTCTCCGGGAGTTTCGATTCGTAACTCGAAGTCGTAAATCGCATCTCGGGGAGTTTCTTCAGTTGTTCCTCGGCGATTTCTTGGATCTTGTGGAGTTCCTTCTCGGCGTCGTTTTCTGTTATTATGATGGGTTTCGAATGGTGATTTTCGAATTTTTGAATGTTGGATTCGAAAGTTTTGACGTTTGATTCGAAATTTCGGACGTAGTCTTCGAATTCGTGCTCCAAGTCGAGGCTTTTACCGTTGGTGTTAACGTTGGGGATTATTTCGATTTCGGAGATGTTGGTGGTGGTGGAATTGGTGGGGGTCAAAACCTGGATTTCGGTTATGTAAGTCAGGGATGTACTTTTGCTACTATCATCGTCATTTGAATCTTCTTTCTTCACGTCGACCATAAATCGATTGTCTTTAACTTCCGGTTCATTGGGAATTTCCAAGGTCAGTGAGGAAGGTCCCTGAACCATCACATCATTGTTTAGTTTATTTATGGCTTCAGCAATTGTGACGTTTTTGATGATATCAGGGGTACTGATAGTGACTCTTGGAGTTTCAGGCTCCGGCTTGATAGTACTATCAAGAGCAGTTGTGTACAACTCAGGCTCAGTCGTGTCAATCTCCAAACTGTGAAGATTTTCTTCATTTTGTGACCGAAGATTATTAACGGTCACATTACTGACATTTATCTTCGCATCGTCGGATTTTGGACGCTCCAAGCTCCCCAAAGAGTGTCTCGAGACTTTAATATCGTCGGAAACATTTGTATCGTCATCATCTTGACTACACGCTATCTTCTCTGTGAAAATAAAATTCCTCGTCAAGTCAATCGCATTCAACATTTCTTTCTTAGTCTCGTCACTTGTCACTGGTTCCTCCTCTGGTTCAGGTACATATGAAGGAATTTTTTTCGACAACAGAAAATCCTTCTTCTCGGGAACAGCCGGTTTAGTGATTTTCGCTTCTGGTAACACTGGGTCTAAAATCGGGGGTTTGCGTTGCCTCTTCTCCACAGAGGCGAGTCGTGGGTTATCATCAATTATGGCACTTCCGTTTGATTTCGTCTCAAATGGCCAGATTTGGTTCTTGATCTTCTTCTCGGGCTTGGGAGGGGTTTCCTCCTTGATGGGGGGCTGAATCTCCAATGACTCTCTCTTGATTTCGTTGATTCTGTTGACGACAGCGTCGATTTCTTCGGTTTTTCCGCTGAGGTCCAAGTCATTCTTTGAGTCACTTTCGTCCTCTTGGTTGAGTTTCAAGATGGCGTCTTCGAGGTTTCCCCACTCGGTGGATTTCTTCAACCGGTTTCTTTGGAAGGTGTTTAAGCCGTCAAGCATCAACGATAAGCGTGGTTCTTTACTCATCACCACTTTTCCGAAGATGTCCTCCTCGGAAGCCATAAAGTCATCTTCAATTCGCCCTTTACGTTTCAAGGTTGGTATGCTTGTATCGGTGATATCAAGACTTTGGGCACGTTCTAAAGTACCAGTGCTTGATTTTCGCGTCCTTTGAATCTTAGTCAAGTCTCCGGTACTTGCAGTTCTTCGATTTTGACAACCTTCAGTATCTTCAGCATGATGGATGGTGATGTCACTCGAATTTAGTTCAATAGTATTGACAGATGAGTGATTGTCAGTTTCAAGATCCGAGTCAGAGTTGTAATCCTTGACTGTGGTTTTGTTCCTCAATTCAACCTCAATTTCCTCAACTAAATCGTCTTGACTCGACTTGGGGATAACCTCCTCAAAATCATCAACTGGTTGTATTTCATCGAAATTACTTTTGAAGAGTTTCTCCTCCGGAGGTGCCGGAGCTTTCCCTTTTGTTTTCTTGGGAGTTTTATCCAACTCCTCGTCTTTGACCGAACTTTTCCGGTTGCTCCGAGCCGCGACAGCGGCATTCATCATGTAGTTGGGGATTTCCTGAGGGATTCCGTTTACATCCCGTTTGATCCCGGAACTGTTATTCGCATGGTCACGATCAAAAACTTCCAACTTCTCGGGAGTTACTTTGCGTTCCCGTTTTTTGACTTGTGGTTTCTTGTCGACTTCGTCAAGCCCTAAAGGGAGTTTCTCCAAGTTGAGGTTGTTCTCATTTTGGGACAATTCAGCCGATTTTGGGCTCTTCTCAGCCGGAAGCACCCTAACCCCGAATTTATGCAACTTGTTTTCGGTTTTTTGAACCTCCATTTCGACCTTTGGCGGCTTCTTTGAATTTTGTTGGTGGTCTGAGCTTATTCTTTGTTCAAGTTGGGTTTTTAACTGTTCTGGGGACATTTGTGTCTTTTTCCTGGGGCGATTTTTGGGTGATTCTGATTCTTTTCGTTCAAGGGTCGTCATATTACTTCTAGATTTCTGCAAACTGGAGTAGTTTGAACTGAGGGAACCGGAATGGTCTTCGGTACCAAATAATTTGCGTTTGGCAGTATTGCCAACCTGGAAATGATTCTAGTGAGAAATGAGTGATGCCAAAAAGGGGGAAACTGACTTGGAAGAGGTCTGTACAAGAGGAGCTTCTGTATACGGGGTGAGTGGGTTGGGCCCCTTGACCACTTGTTTGAAACGTTTTTCCACCTCGTGCTTCAATAATAACTTCATATGGACTAGCGTAACTTAGAATTGTTAAAGCATCTTCGTATACCATGTGTTCGAAACTAATTGTGACACTGTTGATTCTATCCCCGGGGTTTAGTTTCCCCGACTCGGAGGCGGGTCCTCGATGTAGGACATCTTTGATATAAATCCCTTCTTTCATGTTGCCACAAATGTTGAAACCAAGACCGGTAAAATCATGACTGCGTAAAGCCACCACTTTGACTGAATTTCCCTAAAATTGGCCAAAATAAAAAATTGAAGATGTGTTTCAATGACTTACATCAATGGCACTATCATCCAAAGTCTTCTTTTTCTCCGATTTGGTGGTGAGGGCTGTTAAGGGCGACCACTGCGTCCATTTCGTCTTCGCGTCGTTTTTTTCCTTTTCCAATTTCCCAATTGGAGTTAGTCCAGGATCTGCGAAAGAATTTCAAAGATGTAAAAGTTTTTCCGCGCAATAAGCAAGTCCTTGGTGCAGCAACAAGGTCATTTTGATTCTTTGCAACATTCCTCGGTGAATCAGATGCAAATTGTGGTAAACAAAGCGAAATTACCTTTGAACGCCGGATTGTCGAATGCGTAGTCGCCGCCTTTGCCTTTCTCGGGGTCGGTTTCGAGGATGAGTTCTGAAAAAGACGGTTTGTAAGATGGGACTTTTCCATTAATAATATCTTTCGGTGAGTCTGAGCGAGCGCCCACGACCGTTCTTGTTTACATGGAATGTTAATTGCCTCGGGGGGTATACAGCTTTGGTCGAGTTGGACGGGTCCTCGACAATATAGGCCGGCTTGATCGACGACCGGAGGATTTTTTCAACAGTCATGGTAATTCGACGCGGAATGGGCAAACTTAAACTCTTCGAATAACACTTGTTTTTTGTCTTCTAGACTTGAATTTTTTACTTTTCAATGATTTGTTGCATAAACTGTGTTTATTTTTAATTAGCATTTTGATACTAAAGCCCTTATTTTGTTATGAATTATTGGAAAATTGTAAAATTCTTCCACTAAAGAGATCCATTGGAGTAGAAAATGTATCGATAATTAACAAATGATCAATATTAAAAATTTCCCAGGACCGAATTTCCCATATTGTTATATCTTATCTACTTCTGGGCAATGGGCAAAGTATAACTTAAACTCTTCGAATAATATTTATTTTTTGTCTTCTAGACGTGATTTTTTTAATTTTCAATGATTTTTTGCATAAACTGTGTTTATATTTAATTAGCATTTTGATACTAAAGCCCTTATTTTGTTATGAATTATTGAAAAATTGTAAAATTCTTCCACTAAAGAGCTCCATTGGAGTAGAAAATGTGTTGATAATTAACAAATGATCAGTATTAAGAATTTCCCAGAACCGGATTTCCCATATTATTATATCTTATCTACTTCTCATAAAAGGAATGTTAATCTTCTTTAACAAAGTGATGAAAATCTTACATTTACAACTGAAGCACGTTTTCTAATCTAGGTAAATCACCTTACACTTAACGACAAGCAAAAATATGATTATTTTTCAATAAACAATATTTTTTGTTTCTCATGTTTGACCAACTATAAAAAATAGACAACAAAATTTGTCTGTGAAACCTTTTTTTGAGTTTAATGGCCGAATTTAAAAAAATCAAATTAAACATTAGAGTTTAAAGAGGAAAAAGTTTAAAAATCCATGAAAGCAAGTTAAATATTTCATTCTATGATCCGAAATAATAATCTTCTTTTTATTAGTTTTTGTTTCATAATATTCTTGTATTTTTTTAAAATGTTACGTTCCTCCACTGTTTTATTATATTATTTTTTTATTTATTAGATATACATTTATTTATTACAAGTTTCCATTATTTCGCGGCTTAGTCTTAGTTCTCTTAAAGATCTTGACCCAAAATCATACTTTTTATTTGAAAAGTTTTTCTTGCTATCTCAACGTTTATAAAATTCTCATTTTTTTTACCGCATTTCACTACGTTTTTCAAGATATTGTTTCTAAATCGTCCTTTTTACATGTTGTACAAGTACATAAAATAATATTTGAAAATTTTTAAAATCTTTATTGCTTTTAAAAAGATAAAACATCGTGTTACAAAAATTTTGCATCTTAATAGTTTTAGTTTTCTTAAAGATCTTGACCCAAAATTGTTCTTTTTAGTTCTCATTGCTTTTCCAAGATAAAAAACCGTATTACACTACTTTTTATAAGATTTTTCTAAATCGTGCTTATTACTGATTTTTATTTATTTATATAAAATGCCATTCAAAAATTTTCAAATCTTTGTTATTTTCCTAAATGATAAAACATCGAATTACGATTTTTTTTATCTTTTTCTTAGTTTTCTTAAAGATTTTGACCAAAATCAGACTTTTTATTTTAAGATCTGTTAATTGGTATCTCAACGCCATTAAGATTCACATTATTTTTTTAAGATAAAAGACCGCATTTCACTACTTTTTCAAGATATTGTTTCTAAATCGAACTTTTTATTTAATTTGGTTTATTTTACAAATATGTAAAATGCTATTTAAAAAAAATCAGAATCCTTTTCTTAATAGATATAAAAATTTTGCATCTAAGTCTTAGTTTTCTTAAAAATCTTAAAATAAAATATTTTCTTTCAAAATTAATATATTGATCTCTCAACGTTTTTTAAATTTTTGTTGGTTTTGCAAGATAAAAATCCGCATTTCACTACTTTTTTTAAGATATTGTTTCTAAATCGTACTTTTTATTTATTTTACAAATGATATTTAAAAATTTTCAGGATTCGTATCATTTTCTTAAAAGATAAAACATCGCGTTACAACAATCTTGCATTTTAGTTTTAGTTTTCTTAAAGATCTTGACGCAAAATCGTGCTATTTAGTTCTCATTGCTTTTTCAAGATAAAAAACCTCATTACACTACTTTTTTTATAATAGTGTTTCTAATTTGTACTTTTTGTTTACATATTTTTATTTATGTTAGAAAGTATGTAAAATGCTATTTGAAAAATTTCAAAATCTTTATTAGTTTTTTAACAAAAATTTTGTATTTTGGTCTTTGACGTTGACCCAAAATTTCTCTTCTTATTTTAAAATTGTTTGTTGGTATCTCAATGACGTTTTTAAAATTCTTATTGTTTTTTAAAATAGCAGCATTTTGCTGGTTTTTATTTATTATTGTTTATATTTGTAATATGTAAGATGTTGTTTGAAAATTTTCAGAATCCTTATTATTTTCTTAAAAGATAAAACCTCGAATAACAAAAATTTTGCACCTTAGTTTTTTTTAAGATTTTGACCCAAAATCAAACTTTTTATTATTAATTTAAGATTTTTCAGTGGTTTCTCAGGATTTTAGGTACATTTTATTGCAAGAATAAATGCTATTTGAAGATTTACAAGATTTCTATTGTTTTCTCAAGATAAAACATCGCATTACAAAATTTTTCTATTTTATTTTTTCTACACGTCTCGCACGAATTAAATTTATTAACTTGGTAAAACTGCACGAAACACAAAAGTCTCCTAACATAAAAATTATTCAAATTAAATTTGTTTTTTGTCTCTACCATCAATTAATTTAAATTCAAGTAAGTAGGAGCGACAGGTATCGGCTTTACTTTTAAAGATACTTCGCTTGGAGGTAAATGGGAACTATTATTATAAGTCGCCCACTGGTGTTCATTTACGTAAGAGTAGCCCAACTTATTAATTTACTACAAGTATAGAAAAAAAACTGCTCAAAATCTTGCCATTTTAACCCGTCAATTAGAATCAATGATCAATCAAATCAATCGGAATGCAAGGAAAGTCAGTCAATTCATGATCAGTTTGCGTAATTAATTTTAATTGCCATAATTTCGTTATAGAAATACATAGATTACATAAGGCAACAATTGAACCGTCGTTTGTGTGAATATAAAAACATAATCGACGACACGCAATCGGCGAAAATTGCGAAACCCGATTGGTGAAATATTGTCCATTCACTTGAAAATTCCTCAACTTTGACACATCTTGTGCATCTAGCAAAGCGCGGATACAAGGGGGGCTTAAAGGGGTAATTACCGCCCCCAGCAAAAAGATTTGGATTTGTATACTTTTTTTAATAGTCAAGTTAAAATAATAATAATAAAATAGGTTTACTGAAATGCACAACGAATAAAAAAAATTACAGCAAATGCTGAAACCACCATTTTCCAAACATCTTTAACACCTTGTTTGGCAACTGCCCACTCTAGTAGAAAGACTGATTTTGTGATTTAAATCAAAGTTATCATTTATTTGTTGTTTTTAAATATTTTTTTAGTTCTGTTGTTTTATTAAAGAAGTTTATAAATTTGTTCATTTATTTTTTATTACCATTATATTTAATTGTTTATATAAAACTTTTTTATTTGATCACTACCCCCCGCAGTTGAAACTTCTAGATCCGCCCTTGCATCTAGCAGTGCCAATTCTGGCCAGTCAAGCGTCAAATTTGCGCCGAAGGTGCGCCTCGTTCCATTCTTCCATTCATTTAATTAAATCACCTCAAGGTCTCGCGAATATTTCCATCTAGCTGTAAAGCAGCCATTGGTCATTGTTTATGTATCGAACGTGCCCAACCGCATTCATAATCTCCATTTTATTATTTTTATTCGCATTCCTTTTTATCTTCTATTGGCAATATAGTAGTCGATGATGCAAGACTTGAGCAGTGGCCACTGGCGGCTCGTCAGGGGGAGACACTGCCTCCCCAGTGAAAATAGAAGTTAAAAATTAAATAATTTACTAGAAATTACAATTTTAACCTTAAAATTTTTTTATTTGTTCAAATGTTGATTTTTTTGCTATAAATAATAGTGACTTAGTTTTAAATAAACCGCCGCGCCTTCACGCAATGCGCAGGTCACACAGAAGCCTCGCCTTTTTTATTAATCCACTGGGAATTAATTTTTCAATTTGTTTTTATAATGTGCGTCATTGATGGAGCTATTGAGTAAAAAAAAATCATGCCGATAAGTTGGATATAAAAAAAGTTATGGAGCTTGCACACACCCCTGGGTCACCCTGTATGTATGTATAAATATAGCCACAAATGTAATTCGGCCCCGCAAATTGAAATTAATAAATTTAATAAATCATTCAAAAAAATTGAAAAATTCTAAAAAGGTTAGCCGATTTTTGTATTTTCCTTTGCTGTTAAAAGTTAGCTTTTTGTGGTCAGCAAAGCAAAAAATATTTTTTTATATAAAAAAAGATCTGCCTCCTCTCAATAAAAGGCTACGAGCCGCCACTGGCAGTGGCGTGCCCTAGCAAAAAGACCAACTCTAATTACACCACTAGTGTGTTATTACCATCCCGGGAGCTTAGCATGGGTTATGCCAATTGTAATGGGATTTCGCTGAGGATCTCGAGGCTATAGCGAAGGTTGCGACGCCTCTGTTGAGTTGCAAACATGATTTATACTGTTTTGTACCAAATACAACACCATTCATCATGTAAAACTATGTGGGATTTGGAAATAAATAAAGAAAGTGGTTACGTAACTAGCCAAAGACACAGACTGTCTATCAACGTAAAAACCTCCGTCAAATCTTGTTTTTTTTTTTAATATTAAAATATCTCCTACACAACTCGTTATTCGCAAACATTTTCTCGCTTCATGTATCTAATCTTTGTCTGACGTGTGAAATAGTACATTACAATCGAGACGGGAAATATGTCATTATTATGTGAGGTTTGTATGAATCTCGTTTAATTAACACAATTTGTAATAGTTAATGCATTGACGTAGTAGGCTGTGCAATCAAAAAACAAACATTGACAATCCAACATAAATCATTCCCACCCAAGAAGTGTAAAATAGAAAATATTACAGTTTTCACGTAAATTTATAATAAATTGAATAAAATATTAAATGATTTACAATAAATTAATTAAATTAACAATAATTTTGTCTCCATTCGGCCATTTGGAGGAATTGAAGAATTGTATAATCGTACGATGGTAAAGGGTGCAAAAAATGGTGAACGTGTAATTGTGTAATATTCGAATTACTTTGTGACGTTGCGAATAGCGAGATTACGCAGTTCCGAACCTTTTACAATGAAACTGTTACAAAATGGGTTTTTGTGCATCCTGTTGTTTTTAAGGGAATTATTGTAATAACTAGTCAGTCTTAGTCAAGCTCCCGTATGAGTTGATTGAATTGTATTAATTATCCAAATAAATTACTTATTTTGTAGTTCAATGCGAAATTGTGTAGAAATAAGGGCTGTATTATAAGTGCGTGCGTGTTAATATTTTCGAATGCTTAATAGACATTTAATAGTGCGCGATTTTTAAAATTTTTAGTGCCAATGGGTGAAATGGAGTGCACAATCGTGCTACAAGGAAGAAGTATTTATTAAATTCTGAATAAAAATTATTTGTGTTTTAGAATAGATAAAATGTTATTTCTCAATTTGTTTTCAAAACTTGTAGAAGACGAGGCAGTTACCGAACAAAGTAAATCTTAAAACTTTAAAATTCAATTCAATTGAATTCAATTTAATTATTGAGATTCAAAAAATAGCCCTTTTAAAAACATGTAATATTGTTAGGAAATGTCTCAATACTAACGAAATTCATTTTAATAACATCCAAAATAAGAACTTAATTAATAATAATTTATTAAGTTGCGAACCGATAATCCAGAGAATCTCTAACAATAATTAGTTCGGATTATAGAAGTTCGACTGTAGTAACAACAGAGCGACAAGCAACAAAAACTATTTTTGTACCAAAAAATATTTCAAAATAAGCTGTAATTTTTTATTTTAATTATATTTATAGGTATTGAAACTGAAAAACACTTATTTCATGCGTTCAATAAAATTTATAATCAAAATCGTCTATACCAGGTAAGGAACCATGAGGTTTTTTCAATCATTTGCCTTCAGAAAATAATATAAAAAAATAGAATGCTATAAAATATGTGATCGTGTTTTGAGAATGAAATTTTGTTATTTTCGATAAAAATTGAATAAAATATAGATAGTTGCAATCCTTAGATCAAAATCTTTGTAAAAAAAGGTTTTATATTTGAAAATTGTGCAAATCTCGAAAACTAAAAGAAATATCGATAAATTTTGCTTAGTTTTTGAAATAATGTAATTTCTATTACGAAAACACACACTTTTAAGAATCTATTACACCAAAACTAAAAACAATAAAAAAGTTAAATTGTTTTTTTCCTATTTTTATTTGTCTAGTATTCTTAGTTTTGGTGTAATACATTTAAAAAATAAACTTCGTTTTTGGCAAAAAAAAATTATTATGCAAAATCGGCCGTTGTGATAAAATATAAAGTATTTTATTTAATAATCTAAAAACTGGATCTATGAAGTATGTGTATAAAATTACATTTAAAAGAAAAAGAATTAACACCAAAGTCAAATCAAAGTCAAATCACAAATTTATTTAAGAAAGGGTGAAAAGTTTACTGAAACTTGGAATGCCCCATCATTTTTTACTTGTTAAAAGCATTTTTCAATGGATGTACATATTTTTTAATATTGTTCTACAACATTTTTTTGTTTTTAGTTTCTTGTAGAAATAAAATTTTCTTTGATTTCATCACACATTCCGCCACAATTCCTTATAAATGTTAATAAAACATTAAGTGAAAATATTGTTTTTAATTAGCAAAACACTGCTTAGTTTAGATCGCTTAGTTCTCAAAACACGTACTTATTGGTCATTGTTTTCCAACATATTCATTTTACACCTGCTGTATACTATTGACATTACCACGCAATAAAATTTTTGCAATGTATAAAAGTTGATTTGACCCTCTTGACCACTGTAAAAATTCCAAACTGAGCAAATCTCAGAAAACGCACCTTTGGGAACGGCACTTCCTCCATCAAACACGACATTTGCGATGACTAAGAGCCTCTTCCTACGTCCGATTTTTACATAACCTGTAGACTCCAACAATGAATCCGGGCCAAAACTCCTTACATAACGAATTAAAAATTAATCCGGGTTCTCATCCGGGCCGTAATGGCCACTTTACCGTCCGTTATTGCCCAACAAGAGAGATTTTTGTACAGCGAGAACGGGTTTAAACGCGTAATTAGCATAGCGAAGAGTTCTCTCAAATTTAGGGTCAACCAACAGGTTTCGATGGGGCCGTAAATTTCGTATTTCTCGAGTGAATGGCGTAATGCTTGACAAATATTACCCATAGGTGTTTGCCTAGCTCGTTATTATCGCATAGAACAATAAAATAAAAAGGCAAACATTCTTGAAAGTTGTTTTGTTTGAATGCCTGGCCTGATTGGAGAGATTTTTCGCGCGCAAAGTTATGCCTGAAATGCTGCATTGTTTTCCTGAAATTATCTGATTTTCACACGACTGAAAATTAATTTTTCATCCTCCCAGTTTCTTACTTCCTTATCACTACCGAGAATTATCTACCTGCTGGTACAAACATAGATAAAATTCCATTTGAATCTCTCCTCGCTTATAAATCTTGAAATAGTTCGCATAACTCTCTTCGGATTAATTATTATGGATGAGGCTTGCTCGGAAGGCTCCACCGAGTGATAAATGTTGCGCTTCCGTCCACGTTTCGCAACTGCAAGCGCGCATTGCATCGAAAATTTTCAATTTAGCGATGATAAGAAAGTCGCTTCAGCTAGTTCCGATATGACAATTAACAGTAAAGCGATTTATGGCCTGAGATACTGTTATTAGAGGAAATTTTCGAGCGTACGGTGCGTTCCTTCTAAGGTTGTGGAGGAAGGTTTCCGTAATTGTTATGCACGGGGTGGTCGGATTCGTTATGGTAAGCGTGAATAACCAGGAATACCGGAGACGGTGTAAGTATAAAGTATGGCTACCGCTCTTTCTAGCCATGTTTGTGTTGGTTGGATGCATTCAAAACGTGTCTTTATTCTCGATTTGCGTGATTTGACTACCAAAGGCGCTGTGAAAGGCACACGCTGAGCTCACCACCAGAAAGCGAGTTATGCAACTTTTTTCTAAACTACACTACTCCAAAAAATTAAAGGAACAAAAAATTTTCGGTAGATTATACCTATACTTATTAAAAGTTAATTTTTTCTCTTTTATTTAAATCAATGTCAAAGGTGAAAAATTTTCCAAAAAATCATAAAAGGATCTTATAAGACATTTATTCCAGTTTTTGATACTACCCTTATATTTTCTGTGTGGTGATTGGTTGCTGAGATATCGATGATCAAAAACAAAAGGATCCTGTTACATTTAAAATCAGATATCTCAGCGACAAATTGATGTAAAGAGGATATAAAAAAAGCATATTAAAGGTAAACAAACATGCTATCCGATCTATGCATTGATTTAACTTAAAAAAAATTCCCACGTCCGTGGATCATTTTTTCTTATCTCGCGCTATTACTTCGGATTGCCTGATAACCCTAGCACAGAAAAAATATTTGACAAAAGATCTTAAAACTAGAAACTTAAAGCTTCAAAATGTTTTTTTTTAATCTAGATACAACCATTTTTCGATGAGTTATAGCCTTTTAAAAATCACCAAAAAATTTTGTTTCTTTAATTTATTAGAGTAACCGACTATGGGATGTAATGACCAATTTCACGACCACCGAAGGTTTAGAAAACGGCATATTATACTATAGTGATTGTAAATAAAAATATTTCCTCTTTAAATTTTCATATAAACTTCACTTCAAGAATATTTTTGCATTAAAAACAAGTGTGAATCACAAAATTATATAAAAAAAAAACACAAATGACTGGCAACAAGTGTTATATTTATGACATCGATTAAAGCGCAGTAATTTTAATCATTCTTGTTCTTAATTTGCCATTCATAATGGCAAAACGTGATGCATACATAAAGCGATAAATAACAAGTTGCTTTGTATCAAGGCGACCCATATAATAAAATTAATTCACTGATACTCGTAACTGTACCACTGGTGTGACAATTAATTTCTATGAAATCTCGTCAAATGGCTCAAATTCCCGACCACTTTTCTAATTTACAACAGGATTCCAATTTAAGCCGAAGTAACTTTCTATGTAACAGACAATTTCACTTAACAATTAGTGATAATAATTACTTTTCAAATATTTTTTCTGATTTGCTACTTTTGGAAAAAAAATAGTATTTGGTCTCCGTGTCCCCCGAGGCCCCTTTCGATAAATCCCCGGAAGTGAAAGATGCAACAGCGACTGCAATAATCCTCCAAAGGAAAACGTCACGCTCATTGACCGCTCCACTGACTCACATACCGATAATTGCTCTCTAATCGCCAAGGTGTCGGCTTACCCTTCCGTTTCCGGTACTTCCCCCAGAGATAATATAGTGCTGCCAGCAGAACGGCCGTGAAGACGATCGACAAAATCACCGAAAGCGCTATTGATCCAGATCCGTAACAGAGGGCCTCTTGAGCGTCGGCCAATCCGGCACTGACCACCAACACCAACCACAAACTGCGTGCCATTTCGAACGTTTTTCCCGGAGGTTCTCAACGGCCGTTCTTCATTGCGGTTTGGCTGGAATTCAAAATGGAAGTTACTTTTTGAATAGATTGAAAATTGTTGTTGACTTGGACAAGATTCAAGGTTAATTTTGTTAGAATTGTTTATCGCCTATCTAATGGCGGATTTTTGTCACATAAATTACCGTTTTTCGGCCATAAACATTCGGAACGGCGTTGCCACATGGTGCGAATTTTTGACAATTAATTGCGCCAACATCGTAACTGTTTTAATTGACAAATTTTTATTTCACCAATTTATAAACTTGTCCGAGATCAAATAAATAGCAAAAATCTCCTAATGGGTTTAGTCAACTTTGATAATATCTAATTAAGCATAGTTTTGGTCAAGTTTCCCAGAATTTTCTCGGAATACGCACTTATTTTTAGCTTAATTTGTGACGTAAATCATTAAAAGACCGAAAAAGACCCAAATCTATGTCATTCAAAACCATCAAAGGACGCTCGTTGGTGTGTTTATTATTTCACTATTTACATTTGCTTTCTTTACTCTTAATAAAACTAATAAGTTTGAAAAATATTTGCACAACGTTTAACCACATTTCTACTTATCTATTTGTGGTGTTGGAATTTTTTCTTTATGAATACAACAAAATAAAAGAATTACCAAATGTGTTTTCAGTTCAACTAGTGTTACAAGTAGCGTAAACGTTTTTATGGCAGTGAAAAGAAATCTAACTTTCTGATTGTTCAATTTATTGTCTACAAAAATGTGCAGCTTGATAATGATGGCAAATATTTGAGCAGTATTTAAGCACTCTTATTATGTTTAAACAATTTTTGGCTCCCCAAAAATAACTCATTTCATCACACGCCTTTAATTAAATTTCTAATCAAAGTAGCCTGTGACTTTGAAATTAAGTTGGCAACAAGTATCGTATCTCTATACTTATTCAATGTTGCCAACTTAATTTCAGTCACAAGCCACTTTGATCAAAAATTGTATATTGTTTTTGATAAGTAACCTAAGTTTTGTACAAAGTATGTCGGTAATTGAGTTAAACAAATATAAACAAATATATGTACAGGACTGTTCTGAAAACATGTAACTCTTTGGCATTTTTGCTATCCCAGGTGAATAAAAAATATGGAACCAACCGTTTCTTGCTTAAACTATTCATTCATTAGAAAAACTAATTGGTGAATGATAAAGTACTATAAAAACGTAATGTTTTATCAAAAATAAGATTTTTCGAAATTTTTGTTTGTATTGAGTTCTACAAAAAAAAAATATTTTTTTAAGTGGCAACCCACTAAAAACAATTTTTCGCGTGAAGATTATGATCTAAAGATTACAACTATCTACTTGATATTAATTTAATTTTTTCAAAACTTTATTTGTTAGATAAATTGCAATTTTGGCAAAAAAATCGCATAACAAAACAAAATTTCATTCTCAAAATAAATCACATTTTTTATATTATTTTTATTTTAAATTATTATTTTCTGGAAGCAAATGATAAAAAAACCGCTTGGTTCCGTACTTTATATTCACCCTGTATGTTTATAGAAAACTTTTGTCTTAAAATTGAATATTCTATCACTTGTTTAAATTAAACAAAACAAAATAAGAAAATCAATGACATACTAATTAAAAAAAATAAGAACATTAAAAAAATTGATTCATTTCATCTCTCCTTTTGCAGTAAATTTATTTATTTATGTTAAATTCTTCTTAGATAACTATTCAAAATTGCATAGGCAGAGTGTGACAGAACTCACGTCCCAGAGAAAAATTTCAAGTAAGATAAGACTGAATTGTAACTATGTTTATTTGTGACTTTTACTGACTTAGTTTTTGTAACTTTCGTAACATTAAAAAAGGTCAAATGTAAAAAATAATATAGATACAATTTTTAAACATTTTTTTCACGTTTCTATTATTTTATCTTACTTAGTATTTTTTTGGGGCACAAGTCCTGAAACACCCTGTATATTTAAAAATTAAATTGTTACTGTTCCACCTTGAGTCCTCGATAATGTTCAAACAATGTTCTAACCCAAATCAGACCTTCCTGTTCAATGTTTGTTCAGTTTTTTAGCTACTAGATTACTTTGTTTACTCTCATTACAACCTTTTTTATAATATTGTTGTTACTGCTAATCTGTTTGTGTGTTGGAGTTTAACCTCCATTTATCTTAATTGTTTTACGAAAATACAAAATTTTGGTACAAAAAATACGATTTAAATAGAATATAATATCTGTTTATTAGCATAGAAATCTGTTTTTTATAAAACCACACAGAAATGAACCGTTTGTCGTAAATAAAGTGAGAGATTTGAACGCTTTTAATACCAATCAAGCGACCAACCTCCATCGTAAATATGTCAGTGTCACTCATTTATAATTGTTTATAATAATACTCGTAGTTCTGCTACAAGAACTAAACAATGATATTTAAGCAAAAAAAGTTAACAAAAACAGTTACACCACTTTGATAAAGTCTTGTGCCCGAACCTAATCAAATTTTACGATCAAAGCGCAAGGCCATATTCCACACATTCCCTCGACTTACTCCCAGTAATCCCTAATCCGTATCCCTTAATCCCACCACAGCACCATCACCCATCGCGAAAACATGTGACGATCACACTACACCACGGACTACTTTGTTTACACCCGACAGGTGGACCACGAACATGCGACTATCTGGGAGGCACCGACTCGCAGGTGTGTGTGAGTCTCTCTATGTGTGTGAGTGTGCACCTGAGGCTATCTTTGAACTTACTACCTTGAATGACCGACTGGGACCGAAACCTGTCTGATTATTGCGGGGAGGAAGATGGGCCGAGGGGGGCGCATTCCGACCGCAATTGGGGGCTTCCGGGGGGCCGGATGCGGCAGGGGTTGAAAGGGGTGGTGGTTAATTGGAGGTTGGAGAGTTTGTTGACGTGATTCAGAAGGCAAGCGATGAAAGTGTGGCGAGGCGAAAAAAATAAGAATATTCGATCACAATGTATTGTTGGTTGCATACGCATCGATTTAGTGGCTTGAATAAAATCATACTTTTAAAGTCAGGATTTTGTGTTTAAAGAACAGATTTTTTAGTCTAACTTTATTTTAAGTTTGAATGTCGAAAATTAGAGTCAAAGTAAATTATTACACTTTGATATTTTTTTTGTGCTTGATTATTTTTATTTTTTTTTTATTACAATATTAAACTTCATACTTCTTGTCTAAAGAAAATTACTACAGAAAACAAAACTCAGTTTTGGATTTTTTCTTTTTCTCTGCTTGCGTATTATGACAAATGATTTTTTATTAATTAAAACAATTACAATAATAGTTATTTATTCGACGAGTTTGAGTGTAAATCGGACGGATTATTTAACCGAGTGGGTTATTAAACCACGAGTGTAACGAGACATGTAGTCAAAAGAAGTTATTTTTTCATATAAAAAAATTAAAATTAAAAGCGCGAAAGATGCTAAAATTTCTAGAGAATAGCTAGATATAAAAGAAACTTAAATATAAAAAAGTATAAAAAACAGACTTGAAAATTAAAACCAGACTTTTTTACTTGAAACACTCCAATTTGCTTAGAATTTAATTCTTTTTTTTTCTCCATAACAAAATGTATGTATTAGTTTCTCTGAGAAAATTTAGAAGCCTTAGCAAAAAAATGTGTGTAAACTTTTCGCATTAGTTCAATGGACAATTTTTCCTACTAAATATTAATACTAAAGTCACAACCTAGATTTTAAACACTTTTACTTCATGGTTGAAAGGTGAAACTTTTAATTGTGACATTTAGTCATAAAAGTGGTCAGTTTTGTGACGTTTGTAGATAGATGTTTTAAGTAATTGTTATACTTGACGTATCAAACGTCAATGTCAATGGAAGGAATTTTTTATCTAGTAATAACCAAAAATTCCACAACACGAATTTGGTTAATGTTAATTAACCCTCAATCGATATAAACACAATACTCAATGTTTTGATAAATTCAAGAGATGGATAAGATAGAATCTTCAAAGTCAAGATTATTTGCACATATATAAATGCAAAAACAATTTACTGACTCATAAGTCCTCAAAATGAAACTGAGATTACTCTTCCTTGCAACAGTTTTCCTAATAGGGTTGGAGTAAGTATCACTTTCCTTTAAATCACCCTTCAAGAAGAAATTCCAGCCAATCCAACTCCGCCTCGAAAAACAAATTCCCGGATTACTTCAAATTCGGCGTCGCGACGGCCTCGTACCAAGTCGAAGGTGGTTGGGACGCCGACGGCAAAGGGGAAAACGTCTGGGACCACATCACCCACACCAACCCCAACTATGTCAAAAACCAGGACAATGGAGACATCGCTTGTGACTCCTACCACAAATACAAGGAGGATGTCGCCCTCATGAAAGACATGGGCATCGACTATTACCGCTTTTCCATCTCTTGGTCCCGAATCCTCCCTTACGGAATCGCCGGCTCGCCTTTGAACCAATTGGGAATTGACCATTACAGAAATTTGACGCAAGAACTGCTCGACAATGGAATTGAACCCATGGTCACGATGTTCCATTGGGACACCCCGGAGCCCTTGCAAGAATTGGGCGGGTGGCCTAACCCGGAAATGGAGGAGCATTTTGTGTACTATGCCCGGATTTTGTTCGAGCAATTGGGGGATTTGGTCAAGATGTGGATGACTTTCAACGAAGCGAAACAGACGTGTCTTGAGGGGTACGGCACGGGGGAGAAGGCCCCAGGGTTCAAGACCTCGGGGTTAGCTGATTATCAGTGTGCACACACTATACTTAAATCCCACGCAAAGGTTTATCACATGTATGAGGAGGAATTTAGAGAAAAACAGGGAGGAAGAGTTGGGATTGTTATTGACTCGATGTGGTTTGAGCCTGGTAGTGGAAGTGACAAGGACGTGGAAGCGGCAGAAAGGGCCCGGCAATTTACGGTATTTTGCTCTTATTTTAATTAATAGCATATTATGTAACGAGCATACATATAATGTTGGTTATTATTCAGAAAGGTGAAGTTTAAAAAACGAGTCGTGGACGAGTTTTTTAATCACCTGAGTGAATAATAACCATTGTATACGAGTAGAATACGATGCTTTGCTTTATCCACTACTGAAATATTTTTGATTTTTGGAATCAGTGCTTCAACGGGTTTTTTATATTATTTTTTGGAAATTTGAAATAATTTAGTCGCCTTTTAACTATTTAGACGTTGCGTTCTTTAATATGTCTATTATACAGAGTGCACTAGAACTTGCGTCCTAAAAGAAAAAAATGCCATGTAAAGTAAGATACCAGAAACATGAAAAAAATGTTAAAAAAACATAATAACTAAACTAAACTAAATAATTAATCTTATTTTATATTGCCTAACAGCCAAACTGGGATACTCAGGTATCAACTATCGAAAATGTTAAGTTTCTTTAATTGAAATATTGTTTTTCAAAAATAAAATAAAACTTTCATAAAACCACAGTTAAAACCTTTTAAAAAGAATTAATACTATCAAGTACCTAATCTAAAATCTTATCTACGAACATTGACAACAAACTACAACTCATTGTTGTATCAAAACAATTATCTCATCGAATTACGTTCAAGATATCCGGATAAAATTGAGTTTTTTACGAGAATTTGGTTGATTTGTAAAATGACGACACAAATAGCCTACGATAAAAAAACGAGTCTGAAGGACGATAGTTTTTATCTAGTGGTTTGTACAGTCAATTTTCTCAAAAAACTTATGAGTATCATAATATATATATAGTTACGTAAATAACAAACGTATTATTTAACAGTCGCGGATAAATAGTGTATTAAAAAACAAGTTTAATAACACCAGTCTTGAGGCACAAATTCAAATTTAAAAATTAAAGAATGAATGCTTCAAGGTCTCATCAAACGGTTTTTTTTATACTATTTTTTGTAATTTGAAATGATTTAGTCGCCTTTTGACTATTTAGACGTCGCGTTCTTTAATATGTCTATTATACAGGATGTGCCAGAACTCGCGCCCCAGAGAAAGATACCAGGAACATGAAAAAAATGTTAAAAAAAAATATCTATAAAAATTTTGAAGTTATGAGAGTTTAAATTTTGCACTTTGACTATTTATTTCTGTTGGAAAAATAATTTTCCAAGTTTTTTTGCTATACAGGTAATAACCTGTTTCCTTTTCTAATAAGAAAAGGAAACAAGGAAACTGTGTCCTAAATTGTAACACTGTTTAATGTTATTTGTTGTTTTTATTGGCAATCTTTTTGTACCTTTATTAAATAATTGTAAAAAAAAACTTAACAAGATCATCAGTATCATTAAATAGGCAAAAATAAAGTGTCAAAACATAATTGTCAAAATTTTTTGAGCGATCAAATTTTTTAAACATTTTTTCTGTTCCTGGTATCCTATCTTACTGGAAATTTTTCTCTTGAACATGAGTTCTGACACACCCTGTAGAATCAAAACGGAGGCAAATTACGAAAAAATATTAATGAATTTTAGTATGGTTGGTACGGCAACCCCATCATCCACGGTAATTACCCCCAAGTCATGATCGACCGAATTGGTGAAAGAAGTAAGAAACAAGGTTTTGCAAAATCAAGACTTCCGACATTTACACAAGAAGAAATAGATTATATTAAAGGAACTTACGATTTCGTTGCACTCAACACCTACAGTACAAATTATACCGCATGGATAGAAGAAGCAGATATTTCCGATGTCAGTTATAACAGTGATTTAAATGTTCGTCTCTTTGTGGATGATAGTTGGGAAGAATCGGCTTCCACATGGCTGAGGGTTGTTCCTTGGGGTTTAAGAAAAATAGTTAATTGGCTCAGTAAGACCTACAACAATCCGGAAATTTTTATTACTGAAAATGGACTATCAGATCGTGGTGGACTCGATGATGATCAAAGAATAAGATACTACAGAGTAATAAGCGCTAATTTTTGTTTTGCAAAGATAATAGCTTAATTTTAGGACTATTTGAGTAATCTTGTTGATGCGATTGTGGAAGATGGGGTGAATGTCACTAGATATACTGCTTGGAGTTTGCTTGACAACTTTGAATGGAGAAGTGGATATACGTAGGAAAATAAATTAATTAAGAGATAATTCACTAAACTGTTATTTTAGGGAAAAGTTTGGTTTTTACAGTGTTGATTTCAACAGCACCGAGAGAACAAGAACAAAGAAAGCTTCTGCTGATTATTATTCGAAAGTTATTAGCACTAGATGTTTGGTAGACACATGCAACTAATATTTCTGGCAAAATAAATGTATTTGAATAGGTAAATAAATATTTCTAAGACAAATTAAAAAACATTGAATTATTTCCAAATTAACAAACGTAATAACTAAACTTCCAAACTAAATAATTAAGCTTATTTTATTTTAATCCTTTCTTTAACTAATTTTTTTTTCAAAAATAAAATAAATCTACAGTTAAAACATTTTAAAAAGAATTAATACTATCAAGTATCTAACCTAAAATCTTATCTACGAACAATGGACATTGACAACTCATTGAAGTATCAAAACAATCGAATTACGTTTTTTTATACGGATAAAATTGAATTTTTACGAAAATTTGGTTGCTTGTTAATGACGACACAAACAGTCTAAGGACGAGTTTTTTTTATCTGGTGGTTTGTAAAGTAAATTTTTCCAAAAGATAGGTACCAAGTTAGGATTTAAAAAATTCAATTTTATCTTGTAATAACCTTGAACGTAATTCGATGAGATAATTTAATGAATAATAATCGCTTTGGCGTAAAAAGTTTTTACTCCATGCCTGAAAGGTAAAATTTTACTGTGACATTTAGTCACAAAAATGTTATTTTTCTGATGTTTGAAGAAAAATTATTATCGTGAATTGGATTGCGTCTGAAAATCGTTTAGGCACTTTAATATACCTAACAGACCTTAAACAGTTAAAAAAATTATCTATGTATAACTGGTTGCCTATACATAAGGGAAAAATATGTATTATATTTATAATTTATAATTATAAAATAAAAATAAATTCTTAACAACTCAAATTCAAACATCAAAATTTCGAACATTTGGTAAAATTAATTTTTTAAAGTTCACATCAAAAAATGACAAAAATCTTTATGTTTGCCACCCTACGTTATGATAATATTTTTTGATTGGCAATTAAGATTTAATAATAAAGTCCGCTAAACATTTTTAGAAGAATTACCAATAATTCAGTGTTGCCAACACAACCCGTAAACAGTTTTTTTTTTAAATGAAAAATTTGGATAATGCTTGTATCTTATGTTCGTTTTTTCAGATTAAATCGTTAATTTTCTATTGCGAAATGTTACAACTATTTAATTACGTTGCCAATGAGTGTAGATAATTAACTTGATCGAAGTTAATTACGGAAATCCAGTTTTTAATATCAACCATAAGCAATCTCACTACTTATCAGAAACCAGAATTATCCATATATTCTCTTATTGGTGACATAAACGGCTTAGGAATTCAGATTACGTTTTATTCAAGCGTAAAAAAACCTAAAATTTCTGGTTACGAACAACTATTATGCATTTTTGTATAATAAATAAACGTCAGTTTCCTTTTTAAATATTCTAACTAACTTGAAACCCAATTAGTACCATTCCGTGTAAAATGGTTACTTGTTTTCTCCTTCAGTGAACTTGCGTGATAACCGGAAGCAATTACCAAGTTACTAGAAGAGTGTAATCGTATTTTACGCTCAATTGGGTCAGGAATAAAACCAAAATACTTATTTTATATTATTTATTTTATAGAAAAATAATGGACAAATCAATTCTGCTGCGCCTGCTCTTGTATTTTGCTCGCCTCCAAGTTCTGCAATTGCTCCAAAGTGAGCAAAGACACCCCCAATTGGTCCTCCCTGGTGAACGGCTGCGCCATCTGTCGCAACCACCGCTTGGCAATCTGCAACTCAAACTCACTCCACGCCCCTCAAAAACCTCAAAATTACCTGAACCGCCTCCTCAGTCGATAAATTCGTAAGAGAATCCTTCAAATGCTCCTGAATCCACTTGGGCAATTTTGACCTCTTATCCGACCTCGAGAACCTCTTATCGGCGAAAATCATGATACCGTAATCGGTCTTGCCTCTGATAGCCCTCCCCACACACTGCGCCGCATGTCTCATCGCGTCGAAAGTGAGAAAATCGTTCTCGCGGATTTGGAATTGGTCTCGGAGGTAGTCGAGACGCGCTTTGAGGATGCGGCTCTGGGTGTACACGTAGGGGATGCCGAACATGAGGACAGCGCGTCCGAGGTGGTGGTCGAAGTCGACCCCTTCGGAGACTTTGCCCCTCGCGACGGATAGAAGCACGGCCCCTCGGCCCGACTCGCAAGCCTGAAAATTCCTACTTTACCGACATGGTGGCTGGTTTTCATATTAATGTGCATTGAAGTAGTCGTTGAATGGGATCATTTTAAGGTGGCAACCATGCAAAAATCCAAACAATCCTAACCTGAATATTCCTCACAAGTGATAAATTTGTTCGGAATATTAATGACACTTTTTGTGTGAATCAGCCTTTATATTAAAGATGCATTTAAGACTTCTACAACCTACTTGATGCACATAAATATGAAAAAGAGTAGACAATAGGGAGACAGACTTTGATGTAGTACATGAGGGCGAAGCTGGTTTCAGCCGAGTCCTGGGTCTCGATGAAGAGGAGTTTGTATCTTTGGAGGCTGTCGATGACCCCTTGGTCGTACCAACTGGCCACCACCGACTCCAAGTATAAATAAGAAGTGAAAAAACAGACGATTCCGTCTGGAACATTGGCTGCAATTTCCACCAAAAGTTGGCCGTAATTCCTGATAACAGCGTTGTCTTCGCGAGTTTCAAATTTTGACGAAATTGCTACTTGGTCGTTGCCTTTTGAAACGATCTAAAACCGGCCAATGAGAATAAAACACGTGGCGCGACGCTACCAGTGTTGCGAAGTCTGGTGAAATTTCACCAGATCTGGTGATTTTATACCAGTTTAATGATTTGGTGAAAACTTTTGTAAAAATTTCTGATTCATTTTTGAGAAACGTGACTGTATTTTGAAATATTTTTTCGAGCGTTTAAGCACGTTTTTGAGCAGATTTGCAAGATTTATCTAAAAAAGGTGAATTTAAATCATACGGTGCGATAAAAATAAATAAATTAGAGTAGGCGACGATTAATATTCTACAGTTGGCAACACGTTGGCTGGGCTGGAAATTTTCCACACAAACTGAAAGTGGAAATGACCATTCACCGTTTTCGTCTTGTACAGCATTTTTGTAATAACTTGCAACAATAAAAAAAAATCTGCTCTAATGTGAACATTATTTCACTCAAAATGAATAAAACGCACAATTGTCAAAGTTTCCGCTGACATTTGATCTCAAAAATCAGGATTGCCATCTGAAGAACTTTAATCACCGCCTACTCTAATTTATTATTTCTTTGATCGCACGGTGTAATCTCTTAATCTGATGAAAATAGGTGTAAATGTGGTAACTTTTCAGCTTAGATCTGGTGAATTTAATTGTTTTGAGCTGGCAACACTGGCCTGACTCACCATTGGTAGCAAACACGGGCGCGCCAACGTCATTGTAAACGATGACATGATCACAGGATGGAAGTTCAGTATTTTGGGGTACATATCCAGAGGTGACAGAGTACCGGAGGTTATAACCACGGTTTGAAACCGGTCAAAAACCGGTTTTATGGCAATTGACGAGTCCAAACAACTGAAATGTAAGATGGGGTTGGACACTGTTGGTGTCTTGTCATCAAACGGCTCCACAATTATGGTAAAACCCTTAGTGTAAGTGGACACCAGTGTGGCCAAATGTGTGATTAAAATAACCGGACTGAAATCGGTCAAGTCGGATATTTCCAAAGTTCTCAACAGGGATGCCAATCGTTCGGCACAAAACCGCAACGGCTTTCGTTCAATACAGACTTTTGATTGAACGTCTTTTAAAAATCCAGCGGGGCTCTCTTGCACCACATGCTGGACTCTGAGGCGAGTTTTGAGATACTCGAGGAAACGTTTCAGAAAACTAACAAAGTGCTCGGCATTACGGATATTACCAGGGACGGCCTCTGAAAATGCCAGTTAAATTAAGTTGGGAATAGTGAATTCTGACAATGACTGTGCCTTTTATCAACTAATTTGGTAACCATGACTGTCATATACCGAATGACTGTCAAATGACTGATTTTTGTCGGCACGTTGGCAATGCATTTGAAACCTAAATTTGACAACCATGACTGTCAAGTATGTTTTTGATTTTTAATTTGGTAACATTAACTATCAAATTAAAATGTCACAATTTTATAGTCAATTGACATTAATTTTTGTGGGGAGGCCGCTGACTAGAAAAATTACCTATAATTCAGTGTTGTCAATAGATTTTTTGACTTTCATTCAATGGGTTGTTTGGATTTTAAAGTCAATGTTGCCAAATTAATAAACTATGAACATGCGAGACAAAAAATTTATTGGCAACACTAAAATATTAGTAGCTAATTTGGAGGTTTCAGGTGACGGCAGTATTGCCAGCTCTGGTGATTTTTCTGATAGTCTGGTGATTTGGTGAAAACTTTTGTAAAAATTCTATTATCTGGTGGTTTTTAGAAAATGAAAAAAAACTGTTGTAACAACAAAAAATTAATACACTAGAGGTCCAAAATAACTGATACTATTTTTGTATCTTTTTCGAGCATTGTCACACTGGGTCAAGGTTGCCAACCTAAGATTTTAAATTTTACGCCAACTTGAGGATAAAAATCATGACAATCAGTCACCTCATTGTTGCCAACTTGATTTTATCACGGGCCACTTTGATGAAATATAAATCTAGTTCGGGGCTTACCCTGGAGGATGGAATCTGGCAAAACCGGATTGGCCAAAATCACGTCGGTCTCCCTCGCCACGCTAGCGTCGCGCAGCCCCTCGACGAGTCTCTGGTACTCCTCCTGCAATTTTTTATGGTCGTCTTCGCGCATTCTTCATAAAAAAAAAATAATAAATTGTGAGAAAATTAAAATTTCGGGGTTTTACTCAGCCACAGTGCGTTCTAGTAATTGTATGTTGGCGGAAGCTCGATCAATGATGCGTTTATTGATTTTTACACTCATCGAGTCAATGCAGACATTATCAATATTATGGGCCTCGTCGAAGATGACAACCGACTCGCGGGTCAGCTCCTTGGAGACAACTTCGGCGATTTTGGGGTCCAGTAAATAGTGGTAACTGTAGACGACGATATTCGCGTACGTGATCTACGGGAAAAGGGGTCAAAAGTGCGCCGTCAAGTGTGGTTCTAGTACCACAAAGCGGGACAGGAAATAGGGGCACCAATTGCGGTCCCTTCCGTACTGTTTCAAATCATCAATGCTGTAAACCCCAAACGGCATGGTACTTTCTTTACCATCCAAAGCAAAACCTTCGTAATACTGACAAATGGGGGTTGTATCGTCGTAATTGTGTCTCTCCCTTATGTAACTCGCCGTCAACGAGTGGCATTTCCCGTCCACAATCTTGCCCTCTCGCTCAGTACTCACCTACGATTCGACAAAATCAAGTCGGGGGATCCACCCCTGAGGTACTTACTTCCGGATGAATGCACAGATTCTTCCGGGAAGACAACACCACCCCCAGGAGGTGGGGATACTCCCCGTCCAACTTCTCGTAATACTCGAGCAGTTTTTTCAACTCTTCCATAACCTTCTCGATTTCGGGGACAGTGCGCGAGCAGTAAATCAGTTTGCGGACGTCATGGGGGTGCTCCAGCATGTATGCCACGACGAGGGAGAGGATAGTGGTGGTCTTACCGGTCCCCGAGGGCATCTCCAGAAGACAGTGGCCCTGGAACTACAATGAAAAAAAACTTGTAAGGGGGAGAACGCACCTTGGCGTCCAGGGCTCGCTTGAGTTCGCACATGTAGGCATACTGTTCCGGGTAGATGTAATCGTAGGGGAAGTACACAATCAAACCATCGACGTTCAATCTAAAAATTACGGTTTTTTATAATTTCGAGTCAATCGCCGAGTTCTTACTTCATTTTGTGGTGGAAAAAAGTTGTGTTTACATCGACCCGGTAGTTTTTTTAGGTTATGTCATGTTTGTGAAAAAGTGGGGTTAAACACCTTTTGTGATAATAGAAAAAAGTATCTCATTGGTTAATTGCCCAGTGGGGAAGAAATGGACACGAAAAACTGAATTGTGTGGGGTGTAAGCACGTTTTTATTTAATTATTTCAAGTTTTCGCAAAAAGTAAGGTTATGTGTCACAAAAGTTTGAGTTGCAAAATATTAAAAACTTTATTAAATAAATTAATACAAGAATCACACTTTTACAATAATTTTATCACCATTTTGTATTGAATAAACCCCGATTTCTTTCATTTCATCTTCTAAAGTTATCTCAATTTGTGGATCACTTCTACTGGCGTAAACCAAGTGGGGCCTTCCACTCAAGCTAAATAGTTTTTGTGTTAGGACTATAAGTTTCTGTACTGTTATTGTGAGGGGGACTTTTTTGTCTATTGTCACGTCCTCAAAAATTAAACTTAATTGAACCAGCGTATTTTTAATAATTTTCGGTTTTGAAACAAGTTCGCTCTCTTCCAGCTCACCATATTCTGCAAAAAGACAAAAATAGTCGTAAAAAATAATAAAAAGTGTTTCAGACTTTGTATCAATTCCAAATATCGGTTGTGTGACTTGAGAAAATCGGCTTCTTTATCAGTCTCCTTGACTTGCAACCATTCAAGTCCGTATTTTTTTATGTAGTCGTACTCAGCCCCCCGTCTCTCACCGGTCTCAATTTCAACCCCATTCAAAATTTTCAAGTTGGCAATTTTCGCGATAATTATCTGATGCGCAGTGTCGGGTTCTTCCGATTCCGTGATTGGGTTTTTGGAAAATCGCAAATTTTCTAAACTTACAAGTCGATTCAGCTCAGCCACAGAGCCCCACTAGAACCAAGCGTCAAATAAAAATAATCACAAGGGGGGTTTTACCTCATTTATCAGATTTTTCACAACACATAATTTTTTCAAAGTGCTAAAAACCGCCACTTTGGGGGAATCCCCCTCAAACTCAATCGACCGAAGCCCAATATCCTCTAAAATCAATTGCTCCAAGTGGGGTAACCCCCCTAACTTGCAAATCTCTGTCCAGAATTCAATTTTGTTCCCTTCGAGATCGAGTAATTTTAGTTGGGTAAAAACCCCCTCAGGTGAGCCAACTTCACAGATTTGGTTATTCGGGGCTCGGAACTCCTCGAGTGAGGGGAAAACACGCCCGAGGCGGCAGATGTGCCCCCAGGTCAGCTCCATGCATCCACAAATCAAAGTTTTCACGTTTGGGAAACCCCCAATGAGGGTTTCCGGCAACTCGAGTAAATTCTCGCTGACATTTAACCACTGCAGCCTCGGCAATTGCCCACAAAGCTCCAAAACGTCCCCCCACGACCTCAACAAGTTTTTCGAAATGTCCAACTCCTCAATATTGGGGCACGTGTCCCCGAGTCCCCGCCCCACATACTTAATCCCTTGCCCTCGCAGCGTGACAATCCTCAACGCAGTGAAATCGCTCTGTTTGTTGAAAACCTTGTCAAAGCCGACCATTTCCAAAAAGGGGGCGTTCATGTTTTGCTGGAGAAGTAACTGTTTTTGTTTGTTGATTTTCGCGGTGAATTCATCTTCTATGTGGCCATAGCGGGACTCAATCGACGCTAGGGCTGATTTCCCGTAGTTGACCTTCTCGGGTCTTATGAATGAACCCGAAGTTGGGTGTCTGAAATTTCGTCAAAATCGGGTGAAAATTTACAGGGGGCTGTACCTGGTGGTGAAATATTGGACTCCGTTGACGCTGCCGTCGTGTTTGCCGCGCTCGGGGTTGTCCCAGTCGATTCCCAGCCAAATCGAGGATTTGCCCTCGATGGGGCCCACGTATTTCACTGTTCCGATAAAACCGCCGCTTTCAACACGATCTCCGATCTGATAAGGAGACTGAGAGTTTGTCATGATTTCTGTGCAAACTAAGGCTGGAAAAAAATTGTAATCAATTTTTTTTCGGAATTAAAGTGAGGTTAGGTTGGCAAAAAATGAACTCAAAACTTACTTTTTTCAAGTTGAACGGCTCAATAAAGCTAATTCGATGGAAAAGCGATGAATTAAGACAATTATTTCACTGGATAAAATACATTATTGATTTAAAATATGATTCATAATTTTTTTGACGTTTGGAGATAGTCTCACGGAATCATATGGGCGTCCAGGCTTATCAGGACATTTTGTTTTTCTTTTTTCAAGTTTAATAGCTTAAAATAAAAACAATTCAATGCAAGATCGTTAAGTTATTGCAATTACTTTACTTGACACAGTACATAATTGTCCCAATTATTATTTTTTTTCGGAATCTTATGAAGGTCAAGGCTTCTTATATAATTTTTTACCAAAAGATGAATTAAAAAGAAGTTGAATAGCTTATAATAAAGCTAATTCAATACAAAATCGTTATATTATTTTATTATTGATTTAAAATTATTTATTTTTGTGACATTTGGAATATACTCTCTAAATCTTATCGGCGTCTAAGCTTTTTACGAAGGCAATTCTGGCAAAACTTTAAGGTTTTTTACCAAAAAATTAAGTTAGACAGTTCAGAATAAAAGTCATTCAATGTAAAAGATGAATAACATTTTTAACATTTGAAAATAATCTCACGGAGTCTTATGGGCGTCGAGGCTTAGGATATTTGAATAGGACAATTCGAGCTAAATTTTCAGTTTTTATCCAAATAAAACACAACAAATACAACACGACTATATTAACAAAACAATTACTTTTTTTCCAGCAATTCTCTTAAAATCCTATCACATTTTTTCATATCTGCTCTTTGTTTACTTTTTGTCGCTACGAATCCAAGAAATGCTTTAAAAACTTTCGATTTTCCGCCCTTGTACTGTTTTACAACTTTTTCGTTCTCATCTAACACTTCCTGACATAATTTCCTCAACGAATCTTCATCGGTGATTTGTAACCAGTTATTTTCTTCAACAATCTGAAAAAAAAGCTCACTTAATTCACCTCACTTGAAATTTGTAAACCTCAAGTGGCCTTTTTTGCCGTCCTTGGATGATTTCGACCAAAACAAGTTTCGCCGTGTTCCTTGTAATATCCCCACTTTGCAAAAGTTGTGCAATTTCCCCAAAATAATCAGAATTAAAAGAACTAAAAGACAATAAATATTTATTCGGTTTAAACTCACATTTGGCTCGGCTCTAAATTCATTTTTGTCAACGACGAGGTGTATTCGTTTATTAATAAGTTGGCGAGTAATTTTCCCTCAATTTTTTTCTTACTCAAAACATCCTCAAATAAATTCAATAGTGCAGTGTCATTTACTAGAATAATGCTTTGCTCTAAAGTCAAACCGGAGGATTGCCTTAATCGGCACCTCGTTTCCTCCGGTAATTCCGGGAGGGAGTTTTTCAAGGTGTCAACACTAACACACCCTTGAGACACCGGCCCCATGGCCACATGCAATGGGGGCAAATTCGGCTCCGGCATGTACCTATAATCCTGATGAAATTCAACAATTTTGTCAATTTTTMGTCAAATTTGAAAAACCTGCACTTGTTCCTTGTCTCTCATCGAAACCGTGACTTTACCCAAAGCATCCCACGCCCTGGTCTCATTCTCCACAGCCCCCCCAGCCTCCTTCACTTCAATCTGGCGCTCGATTTCGTACCGAATAGCCCCCGCGACGCCCCTCACCGACCCGATATTTTTAATTTCAGTCCGTACCCCCAACGCCTCTCCTTTGCGATTTACCGAAACATTTGCGTCGACTCGTAGAGCCCCCTCTAGAAAAAAAAGCGTGAAAAAGTGTCTTAAGTAGTGTTCAAAAGGGGCCCCACCTTCCATTTTGCACGTACAAGTGCCAATTCGTTGCAAAATCGCGATTAGTTCCTTGACTAGGGCTGCGGCCTCCTCGCCGTCGCTTAAATCGGGCTCGAAGACGACTTCCATGAGGGGGGCCCCGGCGCGGTTCAAGTCGACGAGACTGCGGTCGGTGTCGTGGAGGCTCTTCCCACTGTCTTGCTCCAATTGGAGTTGCTTGATTCGGGCGTGGGTTTTGTAAGGGGTTTTGTGGATTCCGGGGGTGAAGACTTGGAATTCGAGACAACCATCGTTAGCAAGGGGGTGTCTTTGCTGTGTTATTTGATAACCGGCCTATAAAAATAAAGATTATTTTCGAAAAAAAAAAAAATGAACAACTTACTGGAATATCTGCATAAAAGTAGTGCTTCCTATCAAAGGTTGAAACGGGATTTATGCGACATTTCAAAGCCAACGCCGTTAAGACCCCATATTCGACGCATTTTCTGTTAAGTAAGGGTAATGTTCCGGGAATTGCGCAGTCGAAAAGAGAGACATTGGTGTTTGTAGGGGATGAAAATTTTGTTGAAGCTCCTGAGAAGAGTTTACTCGCTGTATTAATTTGGGCGTGAACTTCCAAACCGACCACGCTATTCCATTTATTTTTAACGCTAAAAAAGGGAAATTTAAGTGCAAAATGGGAGAATTTGACCCCCTACCCGGCTCTACTAGCAAACAAACGTTTTGCAGGTCGACATAAATGACAGTCTCTGCGGAAGCGGTTATTGAACTTATTGAACATCTTGACTATTTGTAACTCGCATACAGACAGTTTTCCTTTTTTATTATTAATTTATTTACAAGATTTTAAAGTTAACCTCCAAATTTGACAAATGACCTTCAAATGTCAAGGTAGGCAACAATGAAAAAAAAATTTTTTGTGTTTTTTATTTATATTTATAAAAAAAAATATGTTTTGTGGATGTTTATATTAATTAGAAGTAATTTTACGTAAAAACATTGAATGTTTATTTGATCTCTAAGTCAATTTATGTAAATTCACTTATTTACTTGATTAGGTGGCACACCTGATTAGGTTAAAACGGCGCAAAATTCAAATTAGTATTACTATTTTTCCATATTTACTTGCAACAAATTGAATAGTTTACTATATGTATAACTGAATCAATTTGAGCGTGCCCGTTTAAACCAACAAGCATTTATTGTTAACGTAAAAAAACTCAAATTTAAATCTAAAATGTTCAAATTTAGCCCCTATTTCTGTGTCTAATAGCAAGCAACGTTTTGTATTTTGACTAAATTCTATATTCTCTATTTATTGAACATTTTGTCTATTTGTAACTCGTTTTTAACCATAGTTATTTTTTCTTATTATTTTATTTGCAAAATTTTAAAACCTCCAAATTTAACAAATGATATTCAAATATTAAGTTAGCTAACAATGAAAAATAAAAAAATTATGTACGAAAATAATTATCTTGTTTAATTAGCTTGTTTTGATTAATTTAAAGTAATTTTGCGTAAAAAAAATCTAGGTATTTATTCAATTTCTAAGTCAATTTATTAAATTCGTTCATTTTTTTGATCGAGTGGTACAGCTGATTGCGAAAAAACGGCGCAAAGTTCAAATTAGTACAATGGCGGACACGAATTTTGGACATCAAATTTATGTCAACGTAAGTGTGCTTTATTGATGTTCGACGTTTAAAACTAAAATTTGAAAGTTTTAGTTGAAATTTATTTTTAGCGTCGATTTTCCGAAACAACACTGCCAGTAATACGTGTTTTTATATAAAGTTCAATAAAGCATTTTGATTTGTTGTAATTTTTTCTCTAGATAAAAATTACAAAGTGAGGTTAGTTGCCTAAGGCAACTTTACATTTTTACGTCAGACGGATCACAAATCGTCCAAAATTCTATGTCCGCAATTGTACATACTTAATTTACTTGCAACAAATTATGTCAAGTTAACCAACAATAAAAAAAATATTTATTTTATAAATTTTATTTATTTTTTTATACTCCTATTTATTTTTTGTGTCTTGTTTTTATTAATTTAAAGTGATATAGAAACGTTAGATATTTATTTAATTTCTTACTCAATTTATTAAATTCGCTAATTTTTTAAATAAAGTGGTGCACCTGATTAAGCACCAAATTAAAATTGAAATTACAAGTTATCCTTATTTATTTACAACAAATCAAGTTTTTAACGTTAACCCAAAAACAACATAAAAACTAAAAAAGTTAGAATGAAGATTGCAAATTATCGTTTAGTTATAGTCTAAAAATAAAAATTATGGAAAAATTGAATTTTATCTGAAGAAGTAGATTGTGCTTTTTGTGAGAAATTTTCTAAAAGGTTTTCATTATTATGGAAGCGTTAATAAACTGAATTAATGACTGTAGATAATACACTTTGCATGTTATAATTAACCACAAACAATTGTGCTATTTTACTCGCCAAAGCTTAATTAAATTAATTTAATTAGAATTAAAACGATTTTTTTAAATTTTTTGTCGTTTTCCCAGTGGGCTTGTCGCTTGTCTCGCCGCCTAGATCGGAGCACCTGTTGTGCTTCCATCCTCCACACGAGACGACCGACTATTTCCATCTCATGCTAATGCGCAGCGAGCCAATGAAAACAAACCAATTCAGTCGTATTGCGCCGGCAAAACAGTGCGCGTCGTAATGTGATATGTAGAAAAATCGTGGCCAAATATTTTTATAATTGAACTGAAATATTTTACAAAACGTTAACACGGCCGTTAATTTCATATGTGCGTTCATTCAAGCCGTTATGTGCCGTTAAAACACCGCCAATCCGTCCGAATTCCACATTTGAGTGATGTAAATTTGGATTCAAGATGGCCGACTCCTATTACCAGGTGAGAAACAATTATGTATTTTTGTAATTATCTCGGCGATAATAGCGACTATTAGCACAAAAGTTGGAAATCTGGGTGAATAATATTCTGAGGGGCGTCCTTGGTGCCCCCGAGGGCCCAGGATGGGCCCGTAAACAAATTAATTATTAGGTTATAATCGAGGGGCTAGCGAATTAGCCTTAATTGTCTCAATTGCTGTATTACGGTGCAAGTCAAGGCGACGGTTTTACGTTTATACCAGTTTATTTTAGGATGCAAGTTTACTTATTTGTGGTTATCCCTGTTTTCAAGGTTAATGTCTTATTAATAAATAATTTGCCGTAAAGGTGGGAACGCTGGCCACTCGAGATAAACTTCATATTAATTAAGCGAGACTCACACATAAGGCAGTGGCATTGATTGATATCTGTTTTCTATGTTGTTAATCGGGTTTTTAAATGAGTGACAAGTATGGAAAATGACGAACAAGTCGCTGATGAGCTGCATGAAATTCCCAAGAATTTTTTTATCAAATGTTTGGAAATTGAGTAAACAGGAATTCGTGTGTTGAGATTTGAAAAAAGGATGCTTACTTTTAGAATTGAACAGGAAGAGCAGATGGTTTTCTAGTAAACTTAATTGTATCTGATTTGTAACAAGAATTCAAGCGATTGGAATAAAACCAGATGTTTTTGGCTTTAATCGTTTAATTATGCTATACTTATCTTTTCCGGCGAAAATAAAGGGTCATTAAGGCAATTACAGACAAGCAAAAATAGACATTGTTTGCTAACATGTAAAATAACAGGAAGAAATTACCTTTGATCTGTTGTAAATTCTCTCATGGAGAGATATGTAGAAAATTGAGTGATTTTTCTTATCTAATGCACACATTGTGTTAGATTAGACCGGTTTTCGAGGAAATTTACCAAAATTGAAACGCAACTAGGCCATAAAAATTGTGAAATGGTTCGTGGTTTTTGTTTTTGTAAACACCAAAATGTAATAATCTGAAAATATCTCATGTTTATGAAAAATATTTTTCAGGATGGCTCGAAGGTCGGTGTTTTTCGATTCTCCAAGTAAGCGTTGAAGAAAACTTTGAAATGACTTTAAAAAATGATAATCTATTCCACAAAAGTGGGAAGCAAATTGCCAGTCAATAAGAAATTTAGAATAAAATAAAGATTAAAGAAAAACGGAGCAAGGGCATTTTTATTAACGTTGTTTATTCCAGAGATGCATAGAAAAAAGAAATAAATAAAAATAATAATAATGAATAAAAATAAAAAAATAGAAAACTTCTTTTCTCAAAATTCAATTATTCATACCCGGCGGAATAAAGTACCTTAGTATTAAACAAAAACGGGAGAATAATGTTTCACTTTATTCTCTGATGGGAGGAAAAGTGTATCATTTAAAAAAAATTGTAAAATCTTAATTTTTTAAGTGAAAATAAACTTTTTCAGTATTGGAGGTTCTGAAAGATGAACTATTCAAAAAAACAGAATTTTAAATAAAAGTGCAAAAGTAGCGTTTTTTAAATTTACTAATTTTAACAATATTAATTTATAAAAGAATCTTTGTAAAAAAAAGACAATATATTAAAAAAAATACATTTTTTAACTGGTGGTGCAATTTTTGTATAACTTTTTTTTTTAACTTTAAGTAAAGCAAGAGTATAACGTTTTCTTAATAAACGCGTATACGTGAATTTTAAATTACCAAAAAATACAAAATCATAGTAAAAACATGTTTTTACAAAAATTAAAAAAAAGAAAAACAAAAAATTGATTCAAAGCAAAACTACAAGATTTAAGATAAAATTTTCAGTACCATATTTTTTTTATAATCTACTAATTATCAAATTTTAGTTTAAAAAATACTTAATCTACTAATTATCAAATTTTAGTTTAAAAAATACTACACAGGGGCATTTAAACTTGTCGGGCCAACTCTCGAATGGTGATAGCTAAGCATAAAAATATATGAATGAATTTTTTTTCAAGCTTTTTTTAACAAAAAAAAAAAAACAGTATATTATCAAGTAGGCATTTTAGCTATGTTGTCGGATTTAATTTATTGTTAAATTTGCTAGTTTATTAAAAAATGTTTTGTACACTATAGGACACAAATTGGTGATTTTTTTCGATATGTACCTAAAAAAATTAACCCAAAATCTAAAGTCTAAACAATTTTTTGTCATGGGAACGAACTTTTAACTCAGTTGGAGGTCCTTTATCACCACTCAAGAGATGGCTCGATATTTTTGAATCACTCTGTATATTTTACAAAAACCTTCGAAAAATTACCTGGCGATAAAATTTGTTTGGAAATTTCAACGTAAGGACGAATAGGTTAAAGAATAAAAATCGGTTTTTCATTTATTTTATTTCCGAGATTATTAGTCAAAAACGAGGGAATAAAGCTTCACTGTATTCTCTGTTGGGAGGAAATATTTTTATACGATAAATTTTAGTAAACATTTACGTTTTTCTTTGTAATCCCTGGAGAATTTGAATAAAACAGTCGAGAAATATTTGATTTTATAAATTTTCTCGACTGAAATTGATGTTTTCCTAGTTTCGTGTTGAAATTTTGTGATTCCTGTACGTCTGTATTGTTTCACGTTTCCTATCCACATTCAACCAGTTTGAAACTTCCACCTCGAAAAGAATTTAAATGAGAAAACCTGCTTATTTGTCTCGATTCAGCTTCTAGTTTTGATCAAAACTTGTTGACTAACTGTTGTGTGATTATTTGTTTAATAATTCCCTGAGTTACGGTACGTTTTCATCTCAATTGAAAACAATGGGGGCATGCAAAACTCATCCGTCTGGAAGGGGCTTGGGTTGCGAGTGTCTGCGCTTGGATATCGAACTCCTTTTACCGCAGTCAGCGGTGAAACATTGTTATGTGATGGTCGATGTGTACAGAAATCGTCTCATTTGTCTGTAATTCAATTCGCAAAACTGTGGTCAGTGTTGTGAAATGGTTGGCTTTCTTGGAAATTATTTTTTTGACGCCATTTTACTAATTTAACGAAAATCAATAATCTTAAATACTATCTAATCTAATCGAATTAGGACAGAAGTAGGTGTAGTTAGGTCGACGCCTCTTTATTTAAATTCTTGTGAGTGAAGTCCAAATATTACACCAGAAACACATTTTTATCTAATCTCATTGGTAGGCATTAAATCAATAATTGAGAGCTTTAATTTTAGATACAGTTGAAGATTCTTGGTGATAAAAAAAATAACAAACTTTCACTCATTGAGTCCATTAGAAGAATAATCATTTTTGATTTCACAAATATCAATAAACATGAATTTCATGTAAATGCTTGATAAGAATTTTACTTGCGTGTTTTCGTATGATTAATAGGTAGTCGTGAATTTGAAACGTCATTCATTATCTTTACTATTGTGGTACATGGACGCCATTCATTACCGTTTACAATGAAATGAGGTAACAAACTTTTTAATTGCACAAACATTTTGTATGCTAGTCGGGTAATTGACGGCTTATGTAAATATTTGGGTATTTTCGATAGCGAATTTTGCAACAATAGCCGAACTGGGGATAAAAGTGTGTTGTTGGTTGGATAATTCTAGACCTAGCATCTTTCTAAAATTCCATTGACTCGTGATAATTTCAAGTGGGCCATCGAAAAATTCGCGGTCATCGTCTGGTGTCCATGAACTCGATGGTGTTTTGAGCACCTGTATGGACAATCTCGAGTGACTTGGCGCCCGACCGGCCGATTCATCATTCTTTTTCTGTTAAAAGTTGTTTGTTGGCAACAAGAAAGTCGACCAAAAATGTGAATTAAAGTGCTCAAAATGCTCGTTCTTAAGAAAAGTGCTGCCGATTCGCTGGGAGTGTGCCTCAAATTGGTAGGTGAAGAAAAATGAACATTTTTATTAGAAAGTAGGACGAATGATCATAATTAGCATGAAATTTATTTAGTGAAATTGTCGATTTGAATGAGTTTTCTATTAAATAAAAAATAGCATTGACAATGTCACTGACTTTTCGGTTCGAATCCGGCTTGTTGAGAATTTTATGCATCACACACGGGTTTCTGGAGATCTCTTCTTCATTGTAGTTTCAAGACGTCTAAACGGTGATTTCCTGTGCACAGGTACGACTACCTGTCTTGATATCCGGTTGGGATGACCGCAACCATCTTTGTTAATAAGTTATCGAGTAAAATTTTCGATTATTATGAATATGTGGGAGATAAAACGAAACGTTTTGTAACGTTGACATGAAGAGAAATGTTAATTTTGAATCTTACTGATGTATGAATAGAACATATCCCGTAACTGCTATCTACAAAACGTTGAAAGCATTTCACGAAATGTCTAAATAATAAGCATCCGACTTTGGTGGAACTAAATGAGACAAGGCTTGTTTGTTCCATTTCGAATGATAACCGAGTTGACGAAGACAATAGTACAATTATTAATTTTGTTAGGCTTGATATGGGTTACTGTGACATTGGTGTGTATTGCATGCATGTTAAAGATACACTACGACATTATTTATTATTTAATAATGTTGTTCAATCGTTGTAACACGTAATTAGACTATTGTTCTTATGTTTCTCGAAAATTATATTAATTACTTTTAATTATATGTAGAACTGAATATAATTGCTACCCAAAGACATGAATGAAACTAAAATTACAAAAAAATTGTGCAACTTTTAAATTGTTTACTTTTGCTTCGAAATGTCTAATTAGATTTTCGAAGAAATGTGTCGTTTATTTTTAATTAGCATTTTGATATTTAAGCATTTATTTATGGGATAGAAGTTTTGGATTTTTTTTACTAATTAAATGCACGGTATTGTACTTAAATCTCAACTATAATACTGGGTGTCCCAACTAAAATTTGCGTCCAAGTGTGGAAAAAACAGGTCAATTTTAACAATAAGTTTAAAGAGCAAGTGATGGGGTTGAGTGACACATTACTTGAGGATATTTTGTGAAGTATATTTTTTAAATTGAATTGTTTTTTCGTAACCACTTTTTTTTCCTATCACAGTAATCTCAAACAAAGTCGTTCAAAATTGTAAAAAACATGGCTGCATAGACGAGGAACGCAACTTCAAAATGATGTGTCACTCGACCTCTTGCTATTTATTATTATTTTTTTTTTGAAAGGGTGGCTTTGGGTGTTATAGGTGTGCCGAAATCATTTTGAAACTTTGATAAAATTTGGCCCCCCTTTAAGTTAAAATTGACATGTTTCAGCATTTTTCCAAACTTGGACGACGTAAATTAGTCATTATTGTTTTTTAATTTTTTTTACGAATTAAAAAAATTAATAAAAAACCTCTTTTTTTTAACCTTTTTCGTTTTTTTTTAAATTTAACAAATTACTAATAAACTAACTAATGCAGAATTGTACAAAAAGTTGAAAAAGAATATTGTGATAAAAGTAAAAAAAATTAAATCCATTAAATTAAAAAAAAAAAAAAAAACAATTTTTGTGATTACGCGATAGATTTACTAAAACAAACGAAAAAAGTTACTTTTTTTCAGTTTTTCTTAAATCACTGTTGAGGGTGAAAAATTTTTTTTTCAAAAAATTATAAAAGGATCTTGTAGGAAATTTATTTAGTTTTTGAAACTACCTTTACATTCTCTGCATTGGTAGCTGAGATATCGATGATCAAAGACAAAAGGATTTTTTTTTTCATGAAAATTTAGATATCTCAGCGACAAATTGATGTAAAGAGAATTTAAAAAAGCAAAATGAACCCATGCTTTGATTTAAGTAAAAATAAAATCCTCAAATTTGTGGATAAAAAAAATACATATTTTTTCTCGCACTATTTCTTAGGATTGCGTGAGAACGTAGCTCAGAGAATCTTAAAACTAGAACTTGAAGCTTCAAATGGTTTTGAAGATAATTTAGATAGCACAATTTTTCACTGAGATACAGTTTTTCAAAAATCACCAAAAAATTTATGAAATTTTGTAGTTCCTTTCATTTTTTGAGTAGTTTATTTGGTCATTATGAAAGACAAAAGAATTATTTTTCTTAATCTTTACTTTGCAAAAATAAGAATTTGGTACTAAAATGGTGAGTTCATTAGTTATAGTCGCTGATAGGCGCCAATAGCAAGATTATTTACTGAAAATACATTACATTGTGCTAATTATTAAGGGCTATTGCCTGATTTTTTTTGCCTTTTGAAGGCATCGAACTTAATATGTAAAAAAAAATACGGAGACAAGTGATAATTTGTCTTTTTGACACATATTTATAGTTGGAATCAAAATACGTCACTTTGACTTTGAAATTTCGCGATAAAAATCTATTTTGGTGGATTTTAAGACTATCCATTTTTTTCATTGGGGTTCTTAGTCGATAATGCTGGAATGAAACCTTTTGAAAATATATTTAAGAAACTTTTTAACACATTTATAGTCTTAGAAATGGGCAAAAACAGGCAACTTCTGTAGAATTGGTTAATAACTTATATTTTTCAAATGTTTAAAAAAAAATACAAAATTCTTCGGCAACCTCGTACTTGTTGATTTTTTGTAACATGGAGAAAAATTCGCGGACGAGCGAAATTTCTCATTTGTCTTTTTGACCGTTTTTTACAGTTTTTGTAAACTTTTTTTGCAATCTGTTTTTAGTCTCTTTCATTTTTTGAGTAGTTTATTTGGTCTGTTTTATGAAAACCAAAGGAATTATATATTTATATTTGCAAAAATAAGAATTATAGTCGCCGATATGCGACTATTTACTGAAAATAAGTTACACTGGGCCAATTCTTAAGGGCTAGGGACTGATTATTTCGACTCTTGAGGGCATCGAACTTAATATGTGTAGGTGATTTAATATTGTGTATACGTAGGACAATTACATTCTCACCTTATCGGTATAGGTGTCACGACTCTCACGCCATGTGATTTAAAACATCTGAAAACAATAATAATTTGCTATTGCAAATCGTCTTCGTCATTATTTTTGTGAGAACTTGTATTCAACAAATAAAATTGTCTCGAGTACAAACACAAAACACGAATTTACATTGTTATTTTCAAATAATTATTATTAAATAGTAAGAGTTTGTATATGCAATTCAGTGAAGATGATTATTTAATTAAAATAATGCAAATTTATTGTTGGTGTGATGTAAGTCTAATTTGTTTCACTTATCAGTTTGTTGCTGATGACCGTAAAGTGCATAATTTATAAATTGATAAGAAACGTTAAATTATGACAGTTGTTATCAGAACAGGTGGTTTGTATGGGAGGAGAATCAATGAAATATTTAAATAAATATTTGTCCGATGATTGATAGATAAATATCACTCACGGTCGATATAATTGGAAATAAATCATGTCTATTGCGACAATTATTGTAAATATTCAGTCCAAGTTGAGGGTCAATTGGATTTAAACTATTCATTAAAACACTTTAAATTGTTTCGTCACTTGTTTAGGAAAGGTCAGTTTGATGCGGTTTCAATTTCCTGAAGGTTAAAATTTTGCTGAGATTGAAATAGATTAATTACTTTGTATTTTTTACATTTTTGTTTATGAAATTAACGCCAAAAAGATTAATCTTTGTACAAAACACTTGACAGATGTTAAATTTTCAAACACAGGTGATGATTTCGAAAACGAGGCAAGTAAACCTTGCTTAGATTTATTTAGATAGAAGTAGGATAAGCGAATGAGTTGAACCAACAAGACTAGAACCCTACTGCAATGAGAACGAGGGTCAACGGTTGTGCTCTTGACCTCAACAATAAATTTTTTCGCCGCTAGTTTATTAAAATTTTGCATGGATGATCAATCTGTTATTTGGTATTTCAAACCGGAAATAACTTTAATCATGGTTATTTATCCTTGTTGAAAGATGATTTGATGAAAAGGATATGACATTGTGTGTGGTTCCGGACAACTTAACTGCTTCTTCTTGACGTAATTGACTCGGATTTGCCTCATTTAAATTATCTAGTACGGTTCGTTTAATACGATGCAAATTGCGTAACTGAAAATTCTATAAATAAATTTTTATTAGTGATTGTAATTACAACATTTGCTTTTTTATTGCACGACACTAAATCAAATTACCGATTTTAGTTCCTCTGAGAAAATTTTCAACACACGAGTCACTATAATCAAACAATATAGTGTACATTTAGTCTATGTACAGTTTTTATCTGCGTAACAATCATTCTTATCTGTTATCTTGCAAAATTTAATAACTTATTTACATCAGTTGGGCTTGCGCTTTTGACCAGTTAAGGGTGCAAAAATTGGTGGTTTTAGTGATTTTTCAAAATGTGGTTTTGGGATAAAGCTTGTGGACAGGACGATTTTGAAGTTGGTATTAATTTTATTTAGTTGGTAGCAATGAAAACGTTTATTAACCTTGCCCAAAATCAAATATTTGATTTGTCACCTAACTGTGTTAAAATTGTTAAATAGTTGCGTACATTTTTATTATAATTTCTTTTGTTTGCTCTGAGTCATAATTATTGATCGATATTGATACAGTCATTGACTTGCTATTTTTAGTACCGGTTGATTGAAATTTTGTTGGTTTGGTCCACCCTGTATTATAAATAATTGTATTTTTTTGGCCGTCCTCGTATTATTTTTAGTTTTAACAAATCTTGTCGAAGCCTACGTGCCGCCTACACGAGAGAATTCTTGCGTACATTTTAAGGTGACCGAAGGGGAATATTCCCGTTTTGGTAGCGGACTCTAGTCGCTTATCACTGTGTTTTTTTATCAAAAGAATTGTAATTTATGTAGGAAATAAAAGGAAGTCTCGTTTTATTATGCAAGCGTGAAACAATAACATAAACTGGGTTGTGTCCAAAATTGTTTCCTTTCGCAGTTGCTCTTTAAATGTATGAAGAATTTAACGACGTATTGTGTAATTTTAAACAATGAGTCGGATTATGATAATATCACGGATGAATTTTTCTTTGAGTGTGGGAGAAAGAGTGGTTTAATTAGTGACGGGTTTCGATTTCATTGATTTTTTTTTTCGTTATTTACAGGGCGACTATATAAGACACCCGGTTCTTTATGAACTGTCTCACAAATATGGCCTGCCGACTGAAAATATTTCCGATTCCCAGCTGTCGGGGAAGTTGGAAGAATTGAAAGAAATAATAAGGAGGGAGATTCGAAAAGAGTTGAAAATTAAAGAGGGTGCTGAAAAATTAAGGGGGGTTTCGACCGATCGAAGATCACTAAATCATGTCGCTACAATTGTTAAAAATTCAAATTGGAAACTAGCCGAATTAAAAAATGAACTCAGCGAATTGGAATCACAAATTATACTCTCTCAGGGACACACTACGCCATCTACACCATCATCAAATGGGGGTAAGAGTTTTTTTTTTATTAATTTTCCAACGTGGAGAGGTTCTAAACATTACAAATATTGTTTGTGAGTCATAAAGGCGCGTATCGTTTTGAAATAATGAGGAAAAGTTGTTAATTGTTTTAATTGCTTATTACGGTATTAAACTTGTGAATATCAATGTCGTTAGAATGTCAGAAGATGAAGTTAATAAATGGACAGGAAATGAAAAGAAGTACTCGATTTATTTTTAATTAATGTAATTAATATTATACAAACATGGAAATGATTGAAGTAAAAATTGAAACCGTTGTTATATGCTCTATTGATCAAGGGAAAGGATTGCGGAGCGATCCATGCATGAGGAGAATCCGAAAGTATTTAATGCGATAACCCACCATTCCAAAAATCGACAAAACACGACTGTTGTGCCTCGACAAAGTTAATATTTCGTTATGAAACATAAAAATAAAAATTGTATAAAAGAAAGATAATACTTTGTTGGTAAACAACTTGTCTCTATAAAGTGTACGTTACAAAGTTTGTTTTTTTATTTCCTGAAATGAAATTCTCACGTTTGACCAAAAACTTTTTCAATTATAAAAAGACGTCTCAACCACAAATTCTGCATAACTTTCAGCTTTAATGCTATTGAAGAAATTTACGACTAGTTTTAAAAGCAGCAGTTTAAATGCAGCTTTCTCCAGCATTTATATTGTTTAGTCATTTTTATACCGCCGATGCCTATAATATTTCTGATTAACACGTTGAACGATGCATTTTTTAACAGTAGATTTCGTTTTCACAACGGAGGGTCAGAATGTCATAGAAAAGCGGGTGACACATTTTTACAGTCAAAATATCGTAACTTCATGAAAGTTTATTGATGTAAAAGCCTTTTTTTTATATTTTTGAAAAATTCGGAGACCATCGAAATTTTTAAATTTTTTGACACATTTTTACAGTTTTTTGGGCGGATTTTTAATAATATAATTTTTTTAATGTGGTTCTTTGTCACTAATTCTGAAAGTCATAAGTCTTCAAGAATGAAACTTTGAGGAATTATTGAAGAAACTTTTTATCACATTTACAGTCTGAAATAGACAAAAATAGGAGTGGTTAATAACTTTTTTTTTAAATCTGTAAAAAGTTACAAAATTCTTCGGCAACATCGAAATTTTGGATGATTTTCGGTAAACATGGAAAAAAATCGGGTACATTTTTAGTTTTTTTTTTTTTTGTAAACAAAATTAAAAAGTTTTGACATTAGTTTGGCTGGATTTTAAGGCTATCAATTTTTTTAAATTGTCTTCAGGAATGAAACCTTTTGAAAAGTTATTGAAGAAATTTTTATCACATTTACTGTCTTTGAAATGGACAAAAATAGGATTGGTGAATAATTTTTTTTCAAATCTGTTTAACAAAATTATTCGATAACCTCCAACTTTTGGATGGTGATATGATGATTTTCTGTAACATGGAAAAAAATTCGTGGACGAGGGGTATTTATGATTTTGTTTTTTTGACACATTTTTACAGTTTTTTGTTGTCAAAATATCGTCACTTTGACTGAAATTTTGACATAAAAGTCTATTTTGGTGGATTTTAACGCTATCATTTTTTTTTTCATTTGCGGTAGTGCTGAAAATCGTAAGCCTTCAGGAAAGGCACCTTTTGAAAAAATTACTGAAAAAGCTTTACCACACATTCATGCACATTCTCGGAAATGTGCAAAAATTAGCAATTTCTGTAGGAATGGTTAATAACGTCTTTTTTTCAATGCTTCTAAAGAAATACAAAATTCTGCGGCAACCGCGAACTTGTGGACGATTTTTTGTAACATGAAAAAAAAAATTCGGGGACAAGCGAAATTGTCTTTTTCACCTTTTCTACAGTTTTACTTTTTTTTAATTTGTTTTTCAAAAACATTATTCGAAAACCTCTAATTTTCGGATGGTTTTCTGTATCATGGAAAAAAAATCGGGGACAAACGGAATTTATGATTTGTCTTTTTGACACATTTTTTTCAGTTTTTGGTAGTCAAAAAATCATAACTTTGATTTTAACGTTTTGACATAAAAACTTATTTGGGTGGATTTTAAGGCTATCATTTTTTTTTCATTGTGGTTCTTAGTCGATAGTTCTGGAAGTCGTCTTTTTAAAAATTATTGAAGAAATTTTTTACCATATTTACAGTTTCACAAGTGGGCCAAAAAAGACAATTTCTACAGGATTGATTAATAGCTTGTTTTTTTTTTCACTAAATTTATCTTTTTCATAAAAATTGCAAAATTTTTCGGCAATCTCGAACTTTTGGATGATTTTCTGTAACATAAAAAAAATCGGGGATGAGCGAATTTCTGGTTTGTCTTTTTGACACGTTTTTAGTCTTTTTGTAGTTACAATATTTAAACCTTTGGCATTTTAAAATAAACTTAGTGGATTTTTCACTAATTGTACGAAAATTTGTTTTTATTTATTTTTAGTTTTTTAAAAGTCGCTATTTTTGTCTTCACGAAGTGGATATTGTACCAAATACATAATAATTGGACGTGGTCTGTTTTGAAGATTAGATTTCGTTTTCATTTTTTCAGTTGGAGTGAAAAAACTTTACAGGAAATAATCCCGTTTTTTATGACGCATATAGAATCGTTTAGATGTCAGAATAATCTAATAAACTGTAAAAAATGTGGCTTTACAGGATCTATAATAAAGCTGTTGTAGAAAAAGGCAATAAAGACGTGTCTTGACGTGGTTGACAAGAAGTCTGTCCATCTGACGTTCCATCTGCGTATGAATTTTCGTCATTTTCTCGTTGAGCATGCGTTAACGGGACATGAGTAGCGCGTACAAATAATAATCGTTATTATCACATTCCGCATGTTGCAACAACACCACAATCCTGTCGTGCATGCCGCCGTTGATATTTATCTTTTGCTTTCGCACACATCTCGTACACCGCCCACCCACAACAACACCGTCTGAAACGTGAGCCCAGCCCTGGCCGACCTGCCTTTTCTTTCTTTCCGTTATCGAAATCACCAACATGTGCCCCCCAACCTCCCAAGGTCACTGTACCAGGAGCCCGACTCGCGCGACGTAACGGTCCGCCTTTCATTCCGCAGATGTTTGTGATGGCCTGGATCCTGAAGGATTATTTTTCCCATTTCGGGACCCTCGTCTGGATTTTTGACCACAATCTTGCTCGCTCAAGGCGAAAATTCCAAAGTCAAGAGCAATGAACTTGTGGATCTAATCGATTACGTACACTGTGACAATGACTCTTTTACTCATTTGCAACGTTTGAAGTTATCGCACAATGAATATTATACAAGTTATAAGTGGTTAGAAGCGAATTAGCGGTATTGAGGATTGTAAAGGCTGAACAGTGTTGTGATGGCTGCGGTTACCTTCGAATGAGAGAGGATTGTATGCAAGCGTTTTTCTATTGTTTTATGAAAGTAATTACATTTACTTTGTAAGAAAGTGGTACCATGTACCAGTTAAAAGTGCGAAGCGAAGTGCGAATGCGAGCGATTTATCAAAAAAAAAAAAATGACTCATAATTTGTTCGTTAAATTTATTAAAAAAAATAAGAGCAATAAAAATTACATTTAGAGCTTGCAACTAGCGTTACAGCCAATTAGATGTTTGTGTTAGAACGCTGTAATAAAATTGTACACTTGTAGCAACGTTACTTATAACTGTATCTAATTAAATTAGGTCATACACTGGTATTTAAATTTCTAACACGTTTTTCTTTTCGTTTCAACAAAAATGAATTTGACATAATATTTATAAGGAATGTTATCGCAAACTTTTAACCTTTAAAGAAAATGTCATAATTTGTTAATTTATCAAAGTCGTTATCTTGAACATGTAAAAATTAATTTTATTGAGTACCCGCTTACAATTTGCCGCAAGAATTGATATCTTATCTAAAATGAGACATTTTGTTTATCGTTTTATTCTAAAAGCTTGAGTGAAACTCGGTAAAAAGCATGAAATTTTTATAGATTTTTATCAGAAATTCTTCAACTTTCTAATCTCTTCTATGATACGAAGCGAGGACCGAAAATATCCAATTAATTTCGGATTAAAAAATCCGAATAGTCTTCGCTAAACGTGAGAATGTCGCGGTTTATTTCCAATTTAATGCTTATTTATCACAATTAAATCACTTTTCAACGCAAACACTTGACCATATTTAGTAATTTGTTTCGCTCTGCTTTTATTCTTCTAATTGTCATAACTTCTCGGGATGTGTCGCGATATCTCCATTAATTTATTCGTCTTTGTGTTCTCTCTTCGTGCAGTCGTGATGCTAATAATGAGAACTTCCTTTTATCGCAGAGAATCTCTTGTCACATTTGAATTTTTCCGTAAGAAAACGTATTGTTTTGAGTTATCTCGATCTCAACAACACACATAATGTTTACAATCTCGTACTAGACGATTTGAAAAAAATCGATTTTTTTTACCCCTCCAGATTCTTTACCACGATCCCCCTTAGAAGGCCATAATGATAAGGTGAATGCAAGCCAATACACCAGAATCGAGAATTTAGAACGGCAATTAAATATCGAATTAAAAGTCAAACAAGGTGCCGAAAACATGATCCATAGCATTAGGGATAAGAAACTTCTATCGGAGGCTCAACAAATGCTCCAAGACTCACGAAAAAAAATAGAATATCTTAAAATGACAATAACAAAGGTTTGATCAAAATTTGAGTTGGCAAGTTTGTAATTTTTAGTTTTAGATGAAACATGACATTGATTCGAAACAAAGAGGGTCTATGCACGATCTCACTGCCAATGGTGATGTTAGTCACCGAGAATTTGAACCACCGGTGGATGAACGAATCGAAGATTTGAAACATCGATTAAGGGTGGAAGCAGCAGTTGTCGAGGGTGCCAAAAACGTAATCAAATTATTCCAAAATGGAAGTAAGGATAAGAGCGATAAAAAGGCGCTCTCTGAGGTAATTAAATTCAATCAATTTCTAGACCGGTCTAAAAATCCGACCTTTCGGTCACGTGTCCGTGTCTATTTTTGTCACTGTACGCATATTAGTCCTAAATTTTGTCAGCTGTACGCAATACCATCTAAAAATAGTTCCAGTCGGAATGAAAAATTGTAGAAAATGTAAATGTTTCGGTGTGTATTTGTCTTTTGAGCAAAATACGAAGTAACGTATCCGAGCCCATGATGTAAATCATGCCACGTAGAAATAGTCATGCGTTTGTTGCCAAGATCCAAAAGTCTCGTTCAGTTTACGTTCCTGAGTCCACGACGAAACTTCGTCCCTCCGAATCCAAGTGAAGAAATCTAAGAATAAGTTTGTTTACGAAGTGTGTAGTGATTTCGAGTGCATTCCCCAAAATTGCGTCCACTAAATATAACTTAGTGCGTGCGTGACGTAACAGCATGTGTCATGTTTGGAAAACCGGACCCCCAGCAGCAATGGTCCGTCCACGCGGAGTTTACCATTTCGCATCCTAGATCCGATCCTGACAATCTGCCCCAGGCCCATACCGAGCAAGCTGACAACGGTGTGCGCATGACCTACACCTGGACCTCGCAGGCGAACACCTGGAGTGCCCCGCCGTCGACATCCAGCGACAAGTACGGTTTCCAGAAGGGGAATCTCCTGTTTACGTCGACGCCACCGAGGAGGGTTCACGATTCGGGCTATGGAAGCGATTTACTATCACCGAATTCGTACCAAAGACAACAGCCCTACAATCGCAAATGTCGCAGCACCTGCAATATCGTCCTTTCGACCAACATCGATGAAAATAGAACGGAAGAGACAGAATCGGTACATACGCAATGCGGAAGAACGCAGAGTTTGCGTTGCCAAACACCCACGTTACGGTGCGATAGAAAGGATAACTTTTACGGTTGTGGGGATCCATGGTGTCACCACTATGAAGACTTCTCGGGGAGGTTTTCACCGGTTTTGGAGACATGCGAGGATTCTCCGTCGACGAAGGATTGCGATAATCGAAGGGATGCGTGTGTGCAAACGTTCGAAATGATTGATAAGTGTACATCGCCCATTGTCAAAATGGGAAGGTTAAAAAAATATGCAGAATATGAGGATCGGAAGGAGAAAAGGGAGAAGAAGAAGTACGGAGCGGGGAGTAGGAGGAGGACTGAACCGATTTTTCAAAGGTCACAATCGCCCTCCTCCATCACCCCGGATAGTCTAGAAGGGGCGAAGGTATGGTTTGTGTTCAAAAATAAAACGGGAAACAAAGAGTGTGGGATTTTTTTTTTGAACTTTTAGGAAAATTACGTTTTTCATGTTGTTTGTAACTAGAATTTTCAGAAGTAATTTTGAATGCTTAACATTGGTTACCCCTTGTTGACGGTTGACGTTTTCTGTCAACCTGCTGTCAACTATCGAGCGGCAAAGCCGCGAACCCCCTTTATAAATTTTGACAAAAACTGGTAGTGTGAGGTTTAGAAGAGGGCGAGCCTCCCCTATAAATTTTCACAAAATCTGATAGTCTCCAATAGTCTCCCCCACTGTCTTTTGCAACGCGATGTTTTAAAAAAGTCTCTATTGACATTTTTTTAAATTCAAGCATTTCTATAAGAAATTTTTAAATGTTTTTTTTGCAAGTCTAGAAATCTTTTAAGCCGGTATTTTTTGGCATTTTCTTAGTTTCCCCAACTGTCTTTTGTAACACGATATTTTGAAAAGTCTGAATTTACATTTTTTAAATTTGAGCATATCTATTTGAGAAATTTTTAAACGTTTTTTTTTTTTTTGCAAATTAGCTATTATCTAAACCGGTATTTCTCGACACTTCCTTAGTCTCCCCCAATGTCTTTTACAACACGATGTTTTAAAAAAGTCTCGATTGACATTTTTTTAAATTGAAGCATTTCTTTAAGAAATTTTTAAATGTTTTTTTGCAAGTCTAGAAATCTTTTAAGCCGGTATTTCTTGACATTTTCTTAGTTTCCCCAACTATCTTTTGTAACACGATATTTTGAAAAGTCTTAATTTACATTTTTTAAATTTGAGCATATCTATTTGAGAAATGTTTAAACGGTTTTTTTTGCAAATTAGATATTGTTTAAACCGGTATTTCTAGACACTTTTTTAGTCTCCCCCACAGTCCTTTGCAACACGATGTTTTAAAAAAGTCGCGATTGACATTTTAAATGTTTTTTTTCTTAGTCTCCCCCACTGTCTTTTGCAACACGATGTTTTAAAAGTCTTGATTGACATTTTTTTAATTTAAGCATTTCTTTAAGAAATTTTTAAATGTTTTTTAAAACAAGCCTAGAAATTTTTTAATCCACTTAACACTTTCTTAGTCTCCCCAACTGTCTTTTGTAGTACGAAAAGTCTCGATTGACATTTACTAAATAAAAATGAAACTCTTAATCAAATCCGACAGGATTTGACAACATTGACTAGTTATGTTTCTAAAGCAAAACAAAGAAATAATGAATTTTTTTCGTGACATAAACCATTAAATTTGCTCTTTGTTTTCCCGAGATCGAATCGATCATCTCCATTTGAATGTCTTCAGGGTCAACGGCGTTTGGTGCGTTCCCCCAAGCAGGGAAAGAATGCAACAATTGGTAAAGATAAAGACTCTTCAACGGAATCAAAATTGAGCGATGCGTCGAAAAAACCACGAACAGTCCACATTGACGTCTACTGTACCGGAACAGAAATGGAATCTGATTCGTCTTCGACAGAATCCGAGACAGCTTCAACACCACAAACGGTATTCGAATCGGAAAAAGTCCGAATAACGCATAAACGTGCTGATGAAACTCAAATGCCATTCAATGTTCGCAAATCGCGATCAAGGAGTAAAGAAAAAGAGGTGAAACGAGTCGAAGAGTCTGATGATGATGGTGCAAGTACGGCGTACCCATCGAAATTGAGTTCTTATTCGACTATAAGGGATTTCGAGTCGAGTATTTCGAGTGTTCCTCAGTCGTGGACGCCGTATTCGATGTCCAGTTGTACGGTTCCGGATGATTATGATTCGATCGCGAACACATCCTGGAAAGATACTTTTTCCGATATTGATAGTTTGATTCATAGTCGTTCCAGTATTGCTCAAACTGAAAGTCTGGATTTTGTTCCGAGGAAATTATTTGAGAAGAATCAAAGTATAGATGAAACGCCTGAAATTTTAGCAACTCCAAGTCAGGAGAGTCTACAACCTAGTGATAGTTTCGAATATGCCAATTCAGAGGATCGTCTCAGGATCAAGAAAATGGAAGAATTTTGGAAGAATAAGACTTATTCCAGGCAGTGGAAGTCGCCACATGTGGAACGCCGCTATTTACTACAACAGAAGAAGATTAAAGAGTATTTGGAGAAGCGATTAAGTGATAGGAATTTGACGAAAGAATCGGATTCAGAGGGTAGCGACGGTTCGGAGAAGGGTTGGACTATAGTGAAGGAAAAAACCGAATTAGCGCCAAAAATCAGTGATATTTCGTGTAAATCCCCTAGTGTTTTGGCTATTCAACAAAAATTGACCATGGATCCCACTCTACGCGCCCCTTTTACTATAGTTCCCGGCATTTATACGAATCAGCGTGCTATTGCGAAAAAATTCGGTTCGATTATTCCCGTTGTGCGAAAACCTGGTCATCATATCGGTCCGGTGAAAAACCCAGATTGTCTTTGCGAGCATTGTCAAAGACATTTCGCGAGTGTGGGTCATCGAGGACGTACGCGGTCCATGGGTGATCCTCCGTCGTTTAACATTGGTTATCCACCGACCGAATCCGCGTCGAATAAAAGTGTTCCGTCTCAATTGTGTACCGATTTTTAACAACGCTTCACATTTTTAGTTGTAGTTTAGTGTTAATTTCGTGATTTCAGGCACAGGACAGTTTAAGGGCGAGCAGTATGAAGTTGGATTTGTTGCGGAAGAGTTTAGAGATGCGACGGGCGGAATTACCGCCCGATTCACCAATCGCAATGCAATTGAAAGAAGAACTGGCAAATGCTCAAACGTTTAGTCCTTTATCTGTTCACTATACGAGTTTGCAACCGTTTCGGGAAAGAACAAATGGAAATAAAATGTTGACATCGTCGTCGACGATTAATCGATGTGCGGCCGTCACAGGTACCTTGGAAGTGAGACTAATGGGATGTCAGGATTTGCTCGAGGATGTGCCAGGAAGGCCGAGAAAGGAGGCCGATGGTAGTTCCAGTCCCATGGATTTGAGGTTTTTCAAGAAAGGAGTGACGGGGAGAGGATCATCAAAGAGTTACAGTATTAAAGATGAAGTTAGTGAGGAGATAATGGCAGTGCTCAAGCTTGACAATACGACAGTTGCTCAAACCAGTTGGAAACCATGCTCACAACAAGCCTGGGATCAAAGGTTTATTTCAAACAATTATGTAAGAAAAATCACAAATTTTTGTTTTTAGATTCTCCATAGAACTAGATAAGCATCGCGAATTAGAAATTGGTATTTATTGGAGAGATTGGAGGTCTTTATGTGCCGTAAAATTCTTAAAATTGGAGGAGTTTATCGATGATGACCGCCACGGAATGGCGCTGCATTTAGAACCACAAGGTTTACTCTTCGCTGAAGTAAGCAAGCCACCATTTTGTCACCCAATCGCCATTTTGATTAATTGATTTCAGATTAAATTCCTCAATCCGATGATATCCAAACAGCCGAAATTACAAAGACAGAAACGAATATTCAAACAGGTGATGCCCCGAGCCAAACAAATGAACATTAATATTGTCACGTGGGGCCGATGGATGAAACAATCGTCACGGATTCCCAATAGGAGTAACACAATCGTGCAATCGACGGAAATGTTACCAGTAGGAAAATTTATAAATTTGTGAAATTTCGCTTCAATTTTTTCGATTTTACAGGAAGAACCGGAGGATAAACCGGAAACTCCCGGCGAGACTCCCGATCCTCAGGCTTTCGGTTTGGGTGGTCAACGTCCACTCGGTTTAGGTGTGGCAGTTTTACCGGAAACACCACCGCCAGTTCCTATCGCACCGCCACCAATTGCCAAAAAACGAATGTGTGTGACGCCGCCCCCCGTACCGCCAAGACTGGATCCTGAGGTAATTTTTGGTGTTTTCAACGAAAGTGTTTTTTTTATAGAAATTCGGGCGATTTAGGAGCACTTTACATTACAGAGTGCCGCTGCACTGAAGGAGTTTGATTTCTTAGAGGAACAGGAGATGTCTCGTTCGGGACCTCTTCTGATTCCTTCTGCACCTTCTACACCTGTAGTAGTGATTCCCGAGCAATTGGTTCCTCCTAGTCCTCAGCCCGTAATTGAGTTCCCAGACGACGAGGTACTTTTGGTTCTTTGTTTGGAAGTCATCTAACAATTTTCGTTTTTGCGACATTATAGTATTAATTCGCATGACTGGTGGTTGGTTTCTTAATTAAACATTTATTTTTGCATGCATCCCATTTAACTCGACTTTGACGTGTTTTATGTTTGAAAGTGATTTTTGTGAATTTTTGCAGCCGCCACTTGAGGTGGCGCGTCGGCCTGTGGCCCGCGAGTTGGGGTACCGTGACAGCGCTTACGAATCCCGTCGCCACTCCCAATATACCGGCATGAGTATCGACAACTTCAAACTGATCAGTGTCTTGGGTCGGGGCCACTTTGGTAAAGTCATCCTCTCGCAATACCGCAACACTGGCGAGTATTTCGCTATCAAAGCCCTCAAAAAGGGCGATATTATCGCACGCGACGAGGTCGAATCCCTCCTTTCCGAGAAACGCATCTTCGAAGTGGCCAACTCCATCCGTCACCCTTTCCTTGTCAATCTCTTTGCCTGTTTCCAGACCGAAGCTCATGTTTGTTTCGTTATGGAGTATGCAGCTGGGGGCGACCTCATGATGCACATCCATGCGGATGTGTTCAGTGAGCCGCGAGCGGTTTTTTACGCCGCTTGTGTGGTGTTAGGGTTGCAGTATTTGCACGAGAATAAGATTATTTATCGTGATTTGAAGTTGGATAATCTTCTGCTGGACACGGAGGGTTATGTGAAGATTGCCGATTTTGGGCTTTGCAAGGAAGGAATGGGATTCGGGGATAGGACAGGGACGTTTTGCGGGACACCGGAGTTTTTAGCACCGGAGGTGTTGACGGAGACGTCGTATACAAGAGCGGTGGATTGGTGGGGATTGGGGGTGTTGATTTTTGAGATGTTGGTAGGGGAGGTGAGTGAGCAATTGTGTTTTTCCGGGTTTTGCAATGACTGTTTTAGTCACCGTTCCCGGGAGATGATGAGGAGGAGGTTTTTGATTCGATTGTTAATGACGAAGTTCGTTATCCGAGGTTCCTATCGTTGGAGTCAATAGCGATCATGAGGAGAGTAAGTAGATGAGAAATGATTGGTTTATTGACAAAACGATTTTCTTGTAGTTGTTGCGCAAGATTCCAGACCGACGGTTAGGTTCCAGTGAAAGGGATGCTGAAGATGTTAAAAAACAAGCCTTCTTTAGACACATCCAATGGGACGAGTTGTTGCATCGGAGGGTTCCACCCCCGTTTGTGCCCACTGTGGTATGTCTCGTCCTTTGTTTTCATTGCGTTTGTTGATTATTTGTTTCCAGCATTCGATGGAAGATGTCAGTAATTTTGATGAGGAGTTCACCTCTGAGAAGCCGCATTTGACGCCGCCGAAAGAGCCGCGGCCCTTGACCGAACAAGACCAATACCTGTTTAGGGACTTCACGTACATAGCCGACTGGTGCTGACATTAGCTTTAGCTTATTTCATGAACAACATGCTGCTTTAATTTCAACTACATGAACAAATTAGTGTAAATAAGATCTCAGTATTGAAATCACGATTCATGCAATTATTCTGTAACATATCATTTGTCATGGTTTTTTTATGTAGTATTTTGTAATTTAGTTTCTCGACAGTTCTGATGTTCTGTATATATTTTATTCATACTCTTGTAGTAATATTACTCAAAGTGTTGCATTTTTCCCTGGAGTTGTTGCTCTTCCAGTACGTATCAAGACTGTTGCAATTCGAGAATAGCTGAATTTGGAAGTGCCTGTTTTTAAAAAAGATCACGCTCAGTGTACATAGTTACTAATCCTAGTGTAATCTATTATTTTTTGATGCTTTAAATATATACCTATAAATTATATGTAAGTTTTAATACAAACATGTATAAGCTGACTTCAGTAAATAATGTTATTTATATTCTTTACATCACTAAATATTTACGATATGAATAAAGTCGTGTTTATCTAAGCAATTTAATTTATACTTTCTCTCAATGTTACAGGAGTTCCACACAATGCGGCTTCCGTTATCGCGTCTCTATTTCTCTTTATTTCCGCTTCTAGTTTTTCCTCTTTGTTTGATTTCAGGTGTTTAGCACTCACGTCAGTCGGCGTTTGCAAACCTTCATGTAATTGGTAAAAAACGCAAGTTGAGTCACTGCTGACCAATCCTAAATAAACGCTACTTTTCTTGTTAACACAATTGGGAGTAATAACGCATTACGTACCTCCTGACATCACTTGTATCACACAATGTGAAATAACTTTGCATTTGATTAAAACCCAGTCCGTCACTTGCCGCCCTAGGGATAAAAAATGAGTCACTTTCCGATTTACTTGTCTTCGCAGTGAAGTACAGCAACTGGGCTTCGGGCTTATAACGCGCCACAACATCCCAGTATTTCCTTACTGAAAAAAGGTTAAAATGTGTCTCGCACCTACAAAAACCTAACCTTCACACAATTCTAAATAAACTTGGAGGCCGACAGTTGCGTCTTTTTTATCAACGTTCCCGAGCTTCATAAACTCTGAAATCTTAAAAAAAATTAAATTCTAATTTGGGAAAAGGAAATTCAAACTTACCATTTTTTGGTTATATTCCATTGTTTGAAACAGGGAGTGATATTACCGATCGTGTCAATTTTAACAAATGGAGAAAAATAGAAATGTGGATTGTCATTATTGCGTCTTTTTTAGTAATATTGTAAACTATGAAATATTAAAATTTTGTTAAATTTTGATTTGGGAAATAGAAATTCAAACTTTTAACAGGGAGTGATATTACCGATCGTGTCAATTTCACAAAATGGAGGGAAACAGAAATGTGGAAAAAATCAATCAACTTCGTCAATTATCGGCCCATTTCCTCTATCATTGTTACCATGCGTTGGAAATTGTCTTTGTGATGATTGTCCAGGTCCCGCGTACAATTTCATAATGATCGGTTTTAATTTAATTTCGATTTCTTCCTTCTTACGCACGTATTGCTCTTCTGTAGCACTCTGATTTTTATTCATCCACTCAATTGCCTCCTTACATGTGTTATTCAATAGTGTTTTATCGGATGTTGATAATTTCGAAGCCACAGTCGAGTCGTCGGCCTACACAAATTTTATTTTGACCAAAATTTGACTTTTTAAGTAAAAAGTAAACTAAAAACATAAAAATCACTAAAACTGGCGTATTGCTAAGTTGGTAGTGCTGTATTCGCCAGCTTGTAATCCTTCGCCGATTTTGCGCGTCATGTTTTGCGATTCTGTCAAACTCTAATTCAAAAGTTGTGAAAAATTTAGGATTTTGTTGTTTAAAGCCATTTGTGAAGTGTCAATCATCGGTTTTAGTTTGTGTTTTACAAAATATTTATCGTTTAGAGTGTATTTGAAGACCATAAGATGACGGGCTTTTCTGCATTATTCTACGGTAAGTATGTTCACATTTTCTTGTTTGATTATTAATAACAACTTAAACCTGAGCATTTTGATACTTTATTTTCACGTAAAAATTGAAATTTGACGCAGCTCTACTTTTTAGCGCGCATTGTTTTATAACATTTTTTTTACCATTTACCTACTTGATTTGACAACGCAAACACTTACCAAGTTCTTCATTTGGTAGACATAAGCCTCTAAATCATTTTTGCTCGCAATTGTTGCCCTCATTTGTTGGTCTTGTTCTTTGAATTTTTCAGCTTCAGTGACCATTTTCTCAATTTGGTCTTTCGTCAGTCGACCTTTGTCATTTTTGATGGTTATTCGATTGGTTTTACCGGTGGCGTTTTCTATTGCTGTTACGTTAAGAATACCGTTGGCATCCACGTCGAATGTCACTTCGATCTAAAATTTTTCTTAAGGATGTTTGCGCTAATCAAAGGAAAGCTCTCACTTGGGGAACACCTCGCGGAGCCGGCGGAATACCCATGAGCTCGAATTTCCCTAATAAGTTGTTATCACGTGTCATACTCCTTTCACCTTCGTACACCTGGATTGAGACCCCCGGCTGGTTGTCAGCAAAAGTAGAAAATATCTGGAAAATTGAAGGGTTTCACAATAATACATAGGTACACTGAAAAAACAGTATAACAAACATTTTCGTTGTAATACGAAAAGGTAGTTTGTGACACGAGCTACGAGTTTTACAATGCGCGTGTCTTATTGAAAAGTTGGCACATTTTTAAATTGAGTTTATTACAAAGTTACATTTTGTAACGCTGTTTTTGCTAAAACTGTCACACCAATCGCGAAATAGAAAAATAAAAAACTCGCACTTTACAAAAAGACAACACCAGCCTTCGCCCAAATACTGTTTATGTCACCCTTTTTTCAAATCACCCGCAGCGTTTATCACTGTATACCGAGGTTTTCGTTTGATTTTGTTCCATTCTTTCTTTTTGTTTTTTTGGGTTTTTTTCTTTTTTTGTATTGTTTATTCTCTTTTTTTAATGGTTCTTCAATTTCTCATTTTTTTTTATTAATTATCTTCCATATCATTTTTTCGAAAATATTATCAAAAATTATATTCTGACGCAGTATACCACTCGGGTATTGGTTTTCAGTTTCAGAATTTGTTGCAAAAAAATACAGTCTGTGTCACCTACCATCGCAAGTAAAATTAATCGGTTTGTTGATATCCGTCTCCTAAACACACAATTTAATATTTTACAACCTAAAATGTGTCGATTGATACGAAAAAATTATAAAAAATATTAGAAATTTGCAAAATTTTCAAGTAACAAAATTTTTCGTGATAAATTTAAATAGAGCAAATGGGCGGAATCGAATTTAAGTCGTGCAAATGATCTAGATTAATGGCAACTTTGTGTGTACGTAGGGTACGTAACGTAATCGTGATAAACGAGAAGTCTGAGCCGGAAAAGCATTGCAATGTACGTAAAGTATTGTGAAAATTTACGCTTGTTGCAAATTTAAAATAATATACGCAGTTAAGTCCGCCTGCGAGTACACATAACATTCGTTGCAGCATTTATTAGTGTTCCGTCTTGCGCTAATGCGGCCATTTAAATGTATCAGCTCCCTTTGTACCGTTTAGTTTATTATTAGAAGCGTCAATATTACCATAAATTGCAGTCATTTGATATTAAAGCGTCGAAATAATGGCGGATGCGCCGGTCTATTATCCGCTGCATTGCCCTACCTGTGAATGTTTTACAGGAATGGTGGTATTTCTCTGTATTAACACAGCCATAACGCCGCCGGCCGTTTCAATTCCTAAAGACAAAGGAGTCACGTCCAGGAGGAGAATATCACGGACGGCTTCTGAATTATCTCCTGACAGGATGGCCGCCTGCACGGCCGCCCCGTATGCCACAGCCTCGTCTGGATTGATTGATTTGTTCAGTTCTTTGCCTTGGAATAGGTCCTGGAGGAGTGACTGGATTTTGGGGATTCGGGTCGAACCGCCGACGAGCACGATGTCGTCTATCTGTCAAACAAAGACACATTAAATATTCCCTCAGTGGCAAAATTATGAAATAATCTAATTTAAACTGATATTTTGCTCGAACAGGTCAATTTTCTTTTTGAAAAATACACAATTCTCAACTTCATTCAAAATTTTGTATTAAAAAAAAATGGAAATCCCTAATTTTTTTTACACATTTGATGATATCACAACTGACGCATTACAAGGAAAACATTTTAGTACAGTGACGGCCAGTGAATTTCATCAGCTCTTTTTTCGTGAATTTACAAAAATTTACTGTAGTGCTTTATTGTCAAATTCTTGAGAAATTTTCTCGATAACTATTTATTGTAAAACTCTGATCTTTTTTGTATACGATAGAAAATTAATTTTTTTTTTCCAACGGTACCAAACATAAGAGGTTATCATCAATAAGTCCGGTGTTATTGGCAATAGACCGCTCCAGGTGCCAAAAATCGACCAAAATCTCGAAAAAAATTTCAACTTTAAAATTGTTACATATAACGTTTTTTACATTTCTAGAGATCTTAAAGACTCAAAAAAGTGCATAAAACGTTATTGGGTCAAGTTTAAAAAATTACGATTTTTTTGAGTTTTTGAAGGTTAGTAAATTCGTAAAAATAGTCAATAGTCGTAAAAACGTTTGAGATACGATTGTCAAAGCATAAGAGCGACATAAGCATAAAAGCATGAGCTTTTTTATCGTAAAATATCAAAACATTAAATAAAATGTTGTATCTTAATAAGTTTTAATTCTATTAGGAGCCTGTTATAGTTGTAGAGCACAAATTTTTGAAATTTTGAGAGCTACAAAGGTCGCATTTTTTATTTTGTAAATTGCGACAAAACTGAAAGTATCTCAAAAATTATAATGTTTAATCTTATAATAATGCAAATAGGAGTTACTAACCGTTATTTTAAATGTTTTTTTAGACACCTAGTATCACTATATTTTAGCCCCAACCTTGTTTTTGTTGATTTTGGCGTCCCTCAATGCTTTCTCCACCGGCTCCAGTGTCCTCCGGAAAATATCCCCATTGAGTTCTTCAAACTTTGCACGACTAATATTCGTATAAAAATCGACACCATTTGCCAGGGAGTCAATCTCGACACTGGCTTGAGTCGCCGAAGATAGCGTCCTTTTAGCACGCTCGCACGCGGTTTGAAGACGTCTCAAAGCTCTCTTATTGCTTTTCAAGTCGATTTTGTGCTTTTTCTTAAACTCTTCGGTGAAAAAATCGACCATACGACTGTCGATATCTTCTCCACCCAAGTGGGTGTCACCAGCAGTCGATTTCACCTGAAGGAAAAACACTGATAAATAAGATTTTTGCAGTGATTTACTCACTTCGAAAATTCCTTCAGCCAAGTTCAGAATCGAGACGTCGAAAGTGCCACCGCCGAAGTCAAAAATCAAAATGTTTCGCTCGGCGCCACCCTGAAAAAATACATACAAAGTGTTTTTTTTAATATTGTGAAAAATTGCAACCACATATTTTACATCGAAAAATAACACTAATTTGTCAAATAAATGATGGTCCCATAAAGCTTAGTTTAGGATATACAGAGTGATAAAGTTTTATAATACAAATTAAAATTTATTATTAAGGTTGAACTATACTGAACAAAAAAATAAACCGTTATTTAAAAATTCTGAAAAAATTATCATAACTTTTTGATGGCTTTAGCAGCAATATATATTAATTTGAAATTTTTTGCCCGTGCCGTATAAAAATAAATTTAAAAAAACCTCTATTTTTGGTCATTTTATTTTTTTATAAAAAAACTGTACTGAAGAATTTTTTGATTTATTTTTGGTGTATTGTAGGTTACCTACTTATGTTACTGTATTTTTTTCATGCAATTTAAATAATGCGTTTTTTTCATAAAAAAATAAAAACTATTGAATTTTGCAATCCGTTACAAATACTCAGTATGAGATAAAAACTCTGTGTTACTGTGTGTGTGAGGTACTTTTTTAATTCAGGAACAATATCCAATTGTAAAAAAAACAATTTGTTTGCTGTATTTCTTAAAAATTCAATTTTTCTTTTTTTCCTTTGAACGGCTTTCCGTCTGTACACAAGCGACAAATTCTTCTGGTGGTACATTTTGGAACTGGCTAGAGACGTGCCATCTACGGAACGGTAGAGTAAATAGTTTGAAAACTGTAATTTTGTACTTTTCTGTAAAAAAGTCTAAAAACTGTAAGAATTTCAAACGAAAGGAATGATAATTTTTAATAAATTATGTAATATATTTTTTGTTTGTTCTGAATCATTTTATCATAACTGTCATTGTGGCGTCACTATCTTTCTGTTTTTAGTCATCGAAATTAAAAGAAACAAAGCAAAATTAATTATTTGAAAATTGACAAAAATGCTAATACCAAGAATTTGTTTTTTCAATTTAGTTTCGCACCTTCGAATCGATAAGCTATTGTTAAATTAAATTTCTAATATTCTAATATTCTAATTGAATTTACATTTGCATAAGATAAGATGCATACTACCAATATTTTGAATCGGGAAAAAGCAATTTTGTTAAAAATTCAAATGTAATTGAAACCACTCAATAAATTTATTTTTACTTTTTACTGTATATTTTAACTTTAATTTTTATATTAGTGTTGTTTTTTTAAATTTTTTGCAATAATAAGACGTCTTGAATAAATAGGTCCCTGTATTTGTGATTTGGGGAAAATTTTATCGGGATTAGGTCCAAATAACAGGTGGTGCGTTGTATTACAATGTTTACTTCATCATCGGAGGGAGCGTTTGTTTTACCACAATTAATTTCATCCAGCATCGTCCAATTTTTGTTTAGTGACGAAAGCAGCTGCGAACCGAGTAAAGTAATATCGAATTAGTAGATTGTGGTTGGTTAAAGCGTGGAAGACGGCAAAGATACGAGCAACAATTTGGTTTTCCTCGAGAAAACGGAATCATTATTATATAATGCATCCATTTACACAACACAAGAAATCCACAATGAGTTGCTTTTGTGGCATGCTTTATGTATTATGCTTCAAAATGATACGAAAAGAATAGAGTTTGTATCGATTCGAAACGAGCAGCATTATCCCCGAACTCAGATTAGTGAAATTTAAAATTTTATTTGTTCGAGGACGATGCCAGATGGGACCGACGGCTTAACGAAAATTTAATATTTAATTAGTAGTGTTGTTTGACGAGAAATTTTTTAACCTTCTTGTCCAGGCCGTAGGCGATGGCGGCCGCCGTGGGCTCGTTGATGATCCTCAGCACATCAAGGCCTGCTATGGTCCCGGCATCCTTCGTGGCCTGCCTCTGGGAGTCGTTGAAATACGCCGGGACGGTGATAACCGCCCCCGTGACATGCGTGCCGAGATAGGTCTCCGCCGTCTCCTTCATCTTGCCGAGGACCATTGACGAGATTTCTTCCGGGAAGAAAGTCTTCGTTTCGCTCTTGTACCGGACTCGAATTTTCGGCTTCCCGTTATCGTTAATCACTTGGAAGGGCCACAATTTCATGTCGTGCTGGACGGCCGGGTCGTTGAATTTTCGTCCTATTAATCTTTTCGCATCTGACACGCAAAATGCATTAATGTTTGAATACATTAATTATGAAAGTTTTGCGGGCACAATGTCTCGATAGCGAATAATTTATTGTGCTTGTTGCGGACGGGATGGAACAGGGCTATAACGGGCCATTTTACGCACTAGAGCGGATTTTGCAACGTCTTTACAACACGGTTTTAGTTTCTCACATTGACTATGCGAGGATTTTTACTGAATTGCAGAAAATTTCATCTTACAGTATTTTCCAATTCATACACTTCTAACTCAAGACATGTTTATTTAAAAGAAAATTTGATTTACTGAATGTCTTAAAAATAATCTAAATTTAAGGTATTTTTACTTTATCTATGCATTCTTGCGAAAATTTTCAAAAAAATGCAAATTTAATTCAAATTTCGTAACTCCCAAATCATGTTCACTAAAAAAAAATTCTTCTGTAAAATTTGCGTGTTTTTACAAAATTAAAAATCATTATAAAATAGTGAATACAAATAAGTAATAACATAATTTATTAAATTATGCAAAAACTGTGCAACCAACATTACACAATATGCGTCCAGAAACGTACTACTTTACTGACTATTTTAGATTATTTTACGGACTATTTCGTTCAATTACACATGATTTCAAACAAAAATATTATTAATTTTTACAAAAATAAAAATCTATTAAAAATTAAAGTATATAAAGTATTTTTTACGTTGACTATGCACTGTAGCGAGAATTTTATTGATAAGATATACCAGGAAAAAAAATGTTTAAAAAATTCTATCTGTCAAAAAATTTTGATATTTATTTTTTGACATTTTTTATGTCTATTTAATGATACTGATGATCTTGTATATGTTTTTTTCTTATTATTTACTAAAAGTACAAAAATTTTGCCAATAAAAGCCACAAATAACATTAAACAGAGTTATAGTTTAGGATACAGCTTCCTTGTATCCTCTTCTAATAGTCTGTAGCAAAAAAACTTGGAAAATTATTTTTCCAACAGAAATAATTACCTAGAGTCAAAGTGCAAAATTTAAACTCTTATAACTTCTAAATTTTTATAGATAGAATTTTTTTAACATTTTTTCCATGTTCCTGGTAAGGTAAAAACCTTACATGGCATTTTTCTCTGGGGCGCGAGTTCTGGCGCAGCCTGTATAAATGTAATTTAAAACATGTATATTTATACAAACATCAAAATCTTGAATGTTTTGTAAAATTTCCTCTTTGCATATTTTAAAAATAATTTAAATTTAAGCTATTACGGTTTGTTTTTTGAATACGCTGCTAATAATTACGAATTCAAATGAGTTTTTTTTTTCGAAGTCAATAAAATATGTACTAGGTAAAATAATTATTTTAGATATTAGTACCATCTAAGAAATTCAAAAATCTGCAGTAATTTTGGTAATTTATAGTATTATCTCAAAACATGTTTATTTAAAAAAGTATATTTTGTAAAATCCACTGAAATGTTAAATAGTACATTATGTTATTTATTAGGAGTAAAAGCTATCGTTTATGTGGCGAAGCTGAATATTTGTTATGTCGAACTCCAAATAACACATATGTAGTATTATTTTATCCACAAAAGTATTCAAATTGAGAGTAAATAGCAACACTATAATTAGCAAGTAAATAAACAAAATAATCAGAATACTTTGAAAATAATAAAATCATAACAACGCTTATAAACAAGATTTTCGAAAGTGTTTATTAGTTTAACTAGTGCAGTTAGTAGTGCAAAATGTCCAATGCTGATGTGGATGAGCTATAATTTTCCTCTCCAGCGAAAGAGACAAGAAAGAGACAACGTTGGTAAATGTCATGGTAAAACTAAAAACGCTTAAGCGAAAAAACAAAATTTTTATTCCATGCCTGAAAGGTAAAACTTTTATTTGTGACATTTAGTCATAAAAGGGTCATTTTTGTGAGCGGATAAACATAATCTTAAATTGATTTTAATTTTAATTTAGTTTATTAATTTTTACAAAATTAAAAATCCACTAGAGTTCGAGGTTTTGTTTAGTACAGTATTAAGAATCGATTAAAACTCAATTTAATTCAAGTAGACTTCAATCCACTTCAGAATACTCACTGTTACGTTAAACGTTCGGGAATTTTTTTCGCATTTTGTAGCTATTGGTATTTAAGTTTTTAATAACTTTACGCTTATCCTCTGTAATTTAAAGTGAGTCTGGGTGAAAAATATTAATGATCGTGTTTCCGTCAGCTATTGATGGGTAATTTATATGCAATTATGCATCGATCAACCGACTCATAGTAGTAATATTAAAATATGTACATAATTAACTGTTTAACATCACTAAGTAATTACTAAATCCCCTAATAAATCTCCCGAATTTACTTTCAATTAACTCTGAAATTTAAAATGTGAATAAAAACGTAACTTAATTGGAAAGTAAAAGTGCGATAATAAGCTTCATTGAATTTTTGCCCTATATTTGAGTTTACATAAAAATAAAACAAATGCGTTGTTTGTGAACAAAGTGATTTATGCTCAAAGCGGAATTAAAGTAAAATAATTAATACTTACTAAAATCTAGTTGAAAGACCGCCATGGCCAGTCCCAACTTAAATTACAAATTTCAAGTTTAATTACTAATTAGTGTATTAGCCACAAGGAAAGTTTCCGTTTTATTAAATTAGTTCGTTATAAATCGATGGCGGGTCACTTAATTAAGTTACAACATTGTTCGAAACTAATCACTTTAGTAAATAATGCAAATGAAAAATGTTTATTCAGCACGTACCGTAGACGGTGTTTTCGGGATTCAGAGCCACTTGACCCTTTGCAGGGTCCCCGACAAGTCTTTCCACATCCGTAAAAGCGACGAAACTGGGAGTTGTGCGATTTCCTTGATCGTTTGCAATGATATTAACAGTTCCGTTCGAGAAAACACCAACACATGAATACGTCGTGCCTAAATCTATGCCGATGGGGAGAGAAACGAGTCCGGTGGCCATTTACTAAATTTAGACAAATGTGAACACGGCGAATTTTGATTATGGACTGACACTTGACAAATGCGACAAAGTCAAAAGTTACGATTTGAAAAGCGACTCTAGAATTCATTGAGTGAAAAGCTTATCCTAATTACACCAACAGTAACAAAGTTTAGGAAAAAAAGTTTACATATGACATGAAAACAACCCCAACACGAGTTGAGAAACATTGTGACGGTTTTATCTGAGATGGCCGTAATGTTAAGTATGTGAATTTTAAAGTCGTAAAGATGGTTTAATGCATATAAAACTACGTTTCTGGGGAGATACGGTTGGACACAACAGTGAAACCAGAGAGTAAAGATTTAGATCTTTTTATTCTTAATCAACAGAATTGGATTTTTGCAAATAAGAACTTGTTAAAAGCTGTAAAAAATTACAATTTTTAAGGATATTGAGGGACACGAATGTCTACAAATTTGTGTAAAATGTTCCAAAAACCTATTTACTATTTGAAAAAACTGTGGTCAAAATCTTAAGTTTACCAAAAAAAAACATTTACTAAAAAATTCAAAAATTGAAAAAGAAATGACAGATTTTGATCTATTTTACTTTACATTTCAAAAAACATTTTTCTCTAATGTATTATTTTCATGAGGAACAAAATAATAATTTTGAGCGATTTTTTAAAAACGTTTAGCCTTAATTAAACTGTACTGAACTCTGGCTTTAATCAGTGGCGCAGCGAGGAGGAAGTTTTGAGGGTTAAACCTTCCCTCCCCTCCAGAACAAAATTTGACAAAATATTTTGTAGTGGTAATGAAACTAAAATTAGATTTTGGAAACAACTAAATTAAACATTTGAATCTTGTATACAATTATTTTCGATGTTGTCATAACGTCAGAAGGTTTACAAATTTTTGACTTTTTATATTTTGTAAATTAAGTTCCGAATTTTGATTTTTTAAAAGTTATAGCTGAAATATTTTGGATATTTTTAACTTTATCAGCAATTTTCTCGAGAACTATCTTTTTTAACATATGATAAAAATTAAATTTGCTTTCGATACCAAACAAAACAGACTAGCGTCAATAATTCCGAAATTATTATCAAAAAAACTATTCAAGTACCGAAAATGGCCCAAAATTTCAACAAAAATCGAAAAAATTAATAACGTTAAAATTAAACCACTTGCACTCTTGGGAGTTCAAAAGTCTTTGAAGAGTACAAAAACGTTGTAAAAATGCAAGAAATAAATTTTTGAAAAATTTTGTATGAATATATTGAAGTAAAACATTGAAACTGTCGGCCGGCGTGGTGGCCTAGCGGCATAAGGTCCCGCTTTCCTGCAGGTAGGTCCGGGTTCGATCTTCGGTAAAGTCAGCAATTTTTCACAAATTTAAATTCAAATATTAACTCCAATAAGCAATAAAAGATGGCGGGCGTATAAGAGCGCGAAGTTCAAAACATGTGCACATGTTCTAATAAGTATAATAAGAAAGACAGAGAGAGCATAAGAGCGTATAAGAGCGCGAATTTTAAAATATGTGTCTACAAAAGTGTTAATAGTGTAACAAGTTAATAGTGTATAAAAGTAAACAAAAGGTAAGTTAAAAGAAATATGAAGAAAAGGTAAGTTTTGTTATAAAAATAAAGAAATAATTTTTTTATTAATTATTATTATTACTAATAATTAAAAAATAATGTAATAATGTAGAAGATAAAAGCACCAGAGTTTTAAAACATGTACATAAGTATACTGGTGAAGTAGATTTAATGTGGGAAGTAGATGCTGATTTTAAACAACTTTCCTTAAAATTAAATTTTTTGTCGTATCTGCAACACAATAGTTACTTTACAAAAAAATAGGTTTTTCTGAAAACTTCTCAGGCACATAGATTTTTCAAAACTAAAAAATAATTTGTTTTAGCTATAGCTGATTTACTTGCCAAAAAACTCAAGAAAAGAACGAAACGACACAAAAATTTTGATGAAATGTCACTCGTCAGATGTCATTACAATTTAGATTAGATAATACGAAACAAGAAAACACATCCGTTTTTTACTACTTCTTCTATCAACTAGTTAAAGTTAACTGGATGAACATTTTATTTGAACACATATAACTTCATCACTGATAATTGATAATTTCAAAATAAAACCTATCTTTAGCAAAAAACTTTTTCAATTTTTGAACCGTTTATTGTTTTCTTGATTTTTTACAAATGAAAAATTCATTTGAGTGAATTTTTTTGTCCTGGGATGATTTTGAAAATTCTCTTTTGGAATATTTCGACATAAAAAGCGTTATTCACGTGATATAGGTTTAAGATTCTCGCACCGCCTATTATAAATTTTCCGCACTATCACGTATCACCTTTGAGGTGCTAAATGAGAAAGCAGATATCAAATTTAAAACCAAACAAGTTGAAAAAATGTGAAATACTCGAATTTTTGGCTGTGAGGACGAAAAGTGGATCTATTTAAATGCGTTGATTTATGCGTCGTGTTTACCTAGCGATAATGAAAGATGAGATTTCCAAAAATTTTATGTAGCGAAACTAGAAATAACCGTTCTTTATGTAAATAGGCCTCGCGACAAGCAAGTAGAAAGCGTCCAAGCATTCGAAACTCAAACATTTTAAATAAATACTCGTCGTTCGAATTAGATACGACCGAATTGAAAATAAAAAAGTTCGACTTTTGCATGACTTATTCATAAAATAAATAAGAAATTCTTTTTAGCGCCTTGCAATCCGGTGAATAAACAAGTATGTGAAGCGTGTCTTATACAAACAAAATCAGCACCCAGCAAAGACTATTTCCGAAAATCGTGATTCGAACGAAATAAATCGTCTTGTGAAAAATTCATTCGAGCCCCTAATTGCTCGACGACATTCAATAGAATTGAAAAGAAAATTTATATTGAGATAATCCTGTTTTTAGTTTCGCAGGAAAACAATGGCATAATTAAGGGGTTGAATTTAAATTTTAATTTCATCAAACGCATTTTATAAATCATAAAAGCCAAAGTTTGAAGTTTTAAACTGAAGGGGAGACTTTAACCAAGGTAATCAGGAAAGACTGGAGCGAATTCGTCTAGTTAACTGAATTTCTTCTTCCATCCTTGATTCAGCGATTTACCAGTTGCTGCGTTTAATGCTTGTGGCACTTATCCGCTTCTTTAAACATTCGAAAAGGAGGAATCGTACCGAATCACAACCATCAAAATATTCCAGCTACAACCCTAAACAGCAAAATCGCGTTTTTGGACGACTTGCCATGAATGAACAACCAAATTTGCTATTGTATTTCAGCCAATCATGTGTAAATTTGATAAATTCGCCGATGTAATAAAGTATTAGAAAAATTCCGACTAATTTCGTTTAATATTTGTTATCAAACAAGCCATTACCCAACTGCACTATTGATAAAATTTAATATCCACGTTTGCTTTCCCTGCAAATACACCAGAACCTATTAATTAATGACTCATTTCTCTTTGTATGCTTTCTGACCTGTATTACTAGGGGACCATTTCCACGAACAGTTAACTCATTTTCTGGACACATAATAAAGCGAATTATCTTCTTATGCCCACTTTTTCCCACTGGTAATAGAAGAGATAAATTGGATATTACTGTTGTAAGGAAAGCAATTCACTTTGATTTAATTTTAAGTGAAAAAGTTTAAAAGCTTTGATGGCTCTTGCCGTAAAGAAATTATTAAGTCCCGTTAGAAAAATTTGTTTCATAATTTTCAGCACAAATGTGAACTTACTGAACCTGAAAAGTGGATAAGTTGTTTACTTGAATTTTGCGATTCACCGCAAGCATCATTTTGAAAAGCTAAAAATGAGCGGAAATTTCAGAGTTTGCTTCTTACTGAAACCTGAAAAATTTATTTTGTTTAGATTCAACATCTAAGCCCCTATAAAAATTTTAAAATCATCGGGCTACTATAATTTTTCATTTTTATCCAAGATATAGCAGATACGTTAAAAAGTTATTTAAAAAAGTTGATTGAAGTCAAAATTTTAGGTCCCTATAATTTCAAAAACCTCGACCAACTTTGATCTCTCACATTCTATTTTATGTTTATTTCCCAAATTAAATCTACACTGGTACACTTATGTATATGTTTTAAAGCTCTCGTACTCTTATCTTTTTTTATTTAAATTACAAGTAATAATAATAATTAATAAAAAAAAATATTTCTTCATTTTTATAACAAAACTTACCTTTTTTTCATATATCTATTAACTTACCTTTTGTTTACTTATGCACTATTTCCTTGTTGCACTATTAACACTTTTTGATACATATTTTGAAGTTCGTGCTCTTATTCGCCCGCCATCTTTTGGTGCTTATTTAAGTTAGTTTTTTGCGCTTTGCCTTCTAATTGTTCTCTCTCTTTCTTTCTTATTATACTTATTAGAACATGTGCCCATGTTTTAAAGTTCGCGCTCTTATGCGCCTGCCCTCTTTTATTGCTTATTAGAGTTAGTATTTGAATTTGAATTTGTGAAAAAATGTTGAGTTTATCGGGGATCGAACCCGGAACCGACAGTTTCAATGTTTTAATTCAATATATTTATACAAAATTTTTCCAAAATTTATTTCTTGCATTTTTACAACGTTTTTGTACTCTTCAAAGACTTTTGAACTCCCAAGAGTGGATGTGGTTCAATTTTAACGTTTTTAATTTTTTCGATTTCTGTTGAAATTTTGGGCGATTTTACAAAACAAAAAAATTGTGAAAATAATTGTATACAAAATTTGAATGTTTAATTTGGTTGTTTCCAATATAATTTTAGTTTAACCCTCAAACTTCTTATCAAATAAAAGTAGTGTTTAAGTGCGATTCATCATGAATCACCCTGCTATTTTGGTTCATATTAGCACAATGTGTCTGGAATTTTTTTCAACAAGCTGTGCTATTTTAAGCAAGTCAAATAACTGAAACTCTATTACGGCCTCGTATCACTTTGCATAAATTTGTAATCCCGCCATAATGGGTCGTCCTCATAATAGGGAATTGTCCGCTTTAAGCTAGACGTGGAAGATTCAACACTCACAAATGTGTGCACTCTATTTTGGGTTAGAAACTGGACTCAGATATAAGTTAGAAAAAAAAAAACGAAAATTTTGACCTATCAATATGAAATGCATTTATTTCCGGGAGTATTGTAGCTAATTTAGAGCAAACTGGTGATTTAATGAGCATTTGGCAACTAAATTTCATATTATTGCATTGAACACAACGATCTGGTTATATTTCACGAACATCCATTAAAAACTTTTGTTAGACAAACAATAAATATAGCGCGAGATTAAACAAACTTTTAAATCAAACAAGTTGAACAATTTTATGAAATGAACACTCCTGACTTGTAATTATTTATCATGTCTCAGATTCTGCGACTGTTTATTGACATTCCAACCGACCTAATATCACCAAACTTTGATCTTTACTTACCCAAAACTCGGCAATAACTTTTGTTTGTGTGCGTTTAACTCAAAATTAAAGTAAAACTGCAATAATTTAACACAAGAATTTGTACAACAACCAAATCGCACAAAGTGTGATTTTTCAATCAACTTGTCCAGAGAATATAGGAATAAAAACGTGCAAATGTGTTAATTTGGCAATGCTCCAGAAAGGCTTATCTGAAATCCCGGCTTTAATGACAGTTTTCAGGTGAAACCCATGTGGTGAGTGAATTTTATATTCCACATATCTTTCCTTGAAATATAGGCATATTTTTGCCATTAGCATTATTGTATTTGTGATATGAAGCATCTGGGAATGTTGTCATTCATCATCGTACTCTTTTGTATGACATGGAACAATTTTTCTGTGCAAGAAAATTCAGAGGAATATACTACAGTGCCCTAACGTTCGTCTTTCACGACACTTAATTTTATCCCATAAAATATTCAAATCTTGTTTTGTTTAACATTTAATAAGGCTGTTTTAAAGAAAAGGAAGTAAAAGAGTCATTCAGAATTGAGCTGTTATGTGAAATTAAGAAACTTGTTGAGCAACAAACATCACTTAGTACCGAAAATCGACCAAAATTTCACTAAAAATTTAAAAAATTGAATACTTTAACATTAATTGAGATGTTTACAAATTGCATGAAACGTTGTAGAAATACAATTTTTGGAACTAAAAACGGTACAATTTTTTTTATTTTTTACATTGCGGCAAAACTGTGCTTCAAAACTTATAATGTTTTAAAGTTTAGTTCTGTAAAAACTCCGGTAAGTCTTAATTAGCCTCGAGAAAGCTTCAAAATTCTTAATAGTTTTTAAGTTATAGTCGAGTATAGATTTTAACTCTAGCAATTTTCTCGATAACTATGTATTTGTTGCAGAACAATGATTTTTTTTACTTTCCAACGGTACTTCATATAAAGTAGTTATTGGTAATAAAAGAAAATCGATTTTTTTGAGTTTTCGTAGGCAATTTGTGTAAAATGTTATTGAGACAAATATAAGGACTCTCCATTTTTAGTAATATTTTTTTTTAGGTCAGGGTACTTGCTCCCCATGGCCACTCGGGTCACGTCAAATTAAACCTCTTTCTGAAATTATGGAATTCTTTTCTTCACTCATACTATATGACAAATTACATTGTATAAAAAACACTTTAGGGGTGGATTTTTTAAACTAAAGATAACTCTATCGTGTCACCCCTCATACATATCAGCATAAAGTGAAGATTTAAAAAACATAAAATAAAGTAGGTCATTTACTTTTTTAAGCGAGAAACGAAAATTGACATCGCCAAAATTAAATTTGAATAAAGCATTCGATAGAATACCTATTTCATTGTGCATCTTTTTGTCATAGTTCACTTTACTTTCAAAGTTTTAAGGATAATTTTTTAATCATTTTATAAATTCAAATTTGGGGTCATCTTTGGAGTGTAAATAACAAAACTCTAGGTGTGTCCATCTCTAAGCCATGGGTGTAACAATACGTTGGGCGTGGGGGTAAATGAGCGCCCTATGGGTCTTAAAGACTCGAAAAGTGCATAAAACCTTGCTGCGATGACATTAAAAAAAATGAAATTCTTGAGTTTTTGATACTTTTTGTATTTGGTAAATTATACAAAAGTTTTTTTTATTTTCCCCTTCGAGAAAATGAAGCACATTCATCGTTTATGTAATTGTATTTTGTTTTTCCATTTTTCAAACTAATTCAGAATTAAGTTCTTTAGTGAAAAACTCTTTGAAAAAAAATTTCTTATTATCTTAAAAACTTCAAAACGACAAAACATTTGAAACAAAAAAAATTAGAGAACAGAAAAATTTCTTAAATTTTTTGATGATTTTTGAAATGAAAAATGGTCGTATTTAGATTTAAAAAATTCATTTTAAAGCTTCAAGTTTCTGGTCTTGAAATCTTTCTGAGCTACGATTATTACGTAAGAAATAGCGGGAAAATAACACATTTTTTCTTTTTTTTAGTCCAGGGACTTTGTGAAATTTTTATTAATTTTTGATAGTTTAAATGCTATCGTCAAGTAAAATTTTGGCTATTATTTTCAAGTCTTTTTTATATGACAGGAAATTAAAAGTGCTCTTCGACGGTACTAAATACAACGGGTTATCGATAATAATTTTGGATTTTCTGATGATTTCTACTCCGGGAGTAACCAATATTCGAATTATGATTTTTTTAAATGTTTCGAAACCAAAAATGATTTTTGCACCAAGTTTGGGAGTTTGGTAATTTCGGAAAAAAAGCTCTCACTGTTTTTTCAGTGTTTTGTCTACAATTTTGTCAATTTGACCAAATTTTTAAGATTTTTTACTACGTATATCTTCGATTTGAAGCCGGGTTTAGTTAAGTAAGAAATATTATCTCTTCTCTGTAATTTTTTAAAGGAATAGAATATGTTATTTTGCATTTTAATTGCTCTTTGCTAAATTTCTCGTGTCCCTGAACCTGCAATCTCCTGCAACCAGAATTTTCGCACAACTTATCTGCGCCACTCTTGCGTTGTCCACGCGCACTTCCACCACGCACCCGATCGAATCCGTCATGAAAGTGGCGCCTTGACGGAGGCTTCCTGAACCATGCACAGAGCCTTCGGACGAGACTGTGAAATCCACAGCAGTCGTGCCGCGAGGCCTGCGAGAGAGACTTCTAGCGCTCCGCTGTTTCGCCCCTAGCACCATTTAAATACCCCGACAGTTGTCAACCGCGGACATTGTCCACTTCATAGTCCAGTTGCCGTCATTGGCCACGCAATTGCCTTCTTTTTGGCGTCGACTCTCATGTGCGGAGGTCGGTCGCGATGGCCCGCCGGTAAACGGCACTAACTGTGCCACTGTTCAGTGTTTTAAGTGCAACTGTGAATCCCACCATGGATATACTTCCAAGCGTCGGCATCTTCAGAGAGCTGCAGGACATCCATGACACCGGCTATTTCTCGGCACAACCGTCACTCGACGACCACTGGCAACAGGTAATTTATGGTGTAGTCCACGTGTGTGTGTACACAAGGTGCCTAAGCGCCGGTACCTGTCTCCTCGGTACAGGGCACAGGTGTGCACTACGCAAAAAACACGCTCAAGTAAGGGGTAGTCGTGCGACAAAGACCGGCCTATAGGCATCCGCTAACGGCCAGACAAGGACAGAGTCGTGTAGAGAATAAAACAGGTGAATCGTATACAAGGTCACAGAGTACAAGCTATGTGGTGAATCAGTCACAGTGGACCAGTTCTTTCACGACCGTCGCTACGTTTAAATTTAGAAACAATAAAAACCTCTTATCTTATCAATTGCATATTCAACTTTAGAGTAACGACCGTGGACTGCGTATCGACAAAAAACACCACGTTACATAATAATTAAAAATAAACATTTCTCCACTTGTTACGTTCATGAGTTCGGTAAATAAACGGGTTTTTGCTGTGGATGTTTTCAATTTTTATTAGCAAACATTTTCAGATGTTATTCCGAACAAACAGTACCAAGGTATTTGGAAATCAAGCCACAAACCATGTATTGACGGGTTTTTAATTTTTAAATTCGCACCAAACTCAGTTTTAGACATATTCAAATAACACTAATTAAGCCAATATTCTCTATTTGTGATTTATTTTTTGCAACGTATGTTAAATGACAAAAACAAATATTTTTCTTTGTCGGATGAGAAAATACCTAATTTGTGTTTTAGTTGAAGTCAAATTTAACAAAAACACAACACTAAACCTGTTAATCTCTAAAGTAATTACAAAATACACATAAAACTGTACGTGAGTACAACAATTTCCGTAATATGAATTGATTTTACATTTATTCGCTTGTTTTTAATAGAGTAAAAGCAATTATATAAAGTCTCACTGAAAAATAAATAAATATGCGCTTTAGTTTTCTTGCAAAAAATTAATTAAATGCGGAAATTGAAATAGATTTTCATTAATTAATGTTGAAGTTTTTTAAAATTGTTGCTCCCAGCATTTTAATGCAAGCATATGTTTTCAAAACTTCTCAAAGAAAATTAAAATCTTTCAGTGTTTTATAGATTTCAGCAACAATGTGAATAAAGTAGATTTTATTAAAAAAGAGTTTAGTGGATCTGGAGTGGGAAAACATTTTACTATACCTCAGAAAAAGCATTTTTTACTGTTAATAATAAAACCAGTATTGTGCTAGTCTATAATTAATAAAATTTTATTATACCTAAATGGTATTTTAAAGTTTTTTAAAGGCAAAAGTGTGAAAAACAGTTGTCCTTTTTGAACTTTTGCACTATACTGGTCTATAATTTACAGAGTTTAATTTTAAAGCATTCAGCCCTCTGATTTTTACAGTCCATTATTTTTCAGCAACTTGAAAAATTGCATCTATTTTTGGCATTAAACACCTGCCACTCTTTATTAACCGACTACTGATCAGTTTTTTAATTGGCGGAATTATTTTCACTCCCAAAATTATTGATGTTTCGCTACGTGAATACTAAACAACCAATGAAAATTCAACAAACACGGTTTATATCCTTTAAAAATATTTTCGTTTCTGAATTTAAATATTCTCTCATCTTGTTGCTCTATTTATATTTTGTTTGTATTTTTTTAATGGATCGTTGTAATTTTTATTTCGTTTCTTTGTATCTCATTCGGTTTTAATTATTTAAATAATCCCTGTAGCGACTCTGTTGCCTAAATTATTAAAAAAATTAAAAATCAAGCGGTGGGAAGTTGAAAATGTCACTTTTTCAAGGTTAGTTGTTCAGGTAGAACCATCCTGGGCCATTTTTCATTATGTAATAAGAAAACCATGGTTAAATACCCATTATGGTCAAGTTTTGTGAGTCAGTGCACGTAGCAGGAAAGAATTTTGTCCGATAGTAAAATCGTACTATAAAACCATTTTTATTTATTTAAAAGCACGAAAATTGCCAAAATATTTGAACACGTCATTTGAGTATTCGTGTCTGGCTTTTGAAATAAATATTTTAATCACCTAATAATACATCAGTTTAAGTTTTCCTCAAGGAAAACTCGTTGCGAAACTATCTTACAAGCCGATAACCGATTTCGATACATTCTAAACTAAAACATTTTGTCCCATTAATAACAATTACCTGGAATTAAACCAAATCTAATCTGGCTGTAATGAGTAAATAATGCACTACAAATTAATATTAATAAATGCGAAACGTGGTGATTTTGTGAATAGTGGGCATAAAGAGTCTTTATGTTCTCTGCAATAAAATATGACCTTTTGCTCGTAATTATTTTCTTCGTAGGAAATAACAATGGCCGTATTATTGTCTATAATTAAATAAGTTTTACAAACACAATGTCATCAGACGAAAGAAAATCGTTGGTATGCAAGAATGCTAATATGTTATTAAGAAATTTTTATTACGTGTGTCCCTGCGATTTAATAGATGATTCATGATTTTAATAACATTCCTTATTAAGTGATGAGTTGAGATGATTATTGACAACGAAAGTTGAGCGTTGTTTGTACAATTTACTCACTTATGTTATTATAATTAATAAACATTTGCTCACGAAGCGAATTTGCAACACAATATCCACCTTTACACTAATTGTAGTAATAATTCTGAATTGTATTTGTAACTTCTCTCTTGGAAACAACATATCTACATGTGCAAACATCAAAGTTAATTAATTAATAGTTTTTGTTAAATTGAATGAAAAGTCGGTCCTGAATGGGGATTTTATTACTACAAATGACCCAATTTGCATAATGTTAATTGCTCTTAACTTGATAATTTATGAATGAAACTTCTCGTGTGACGAATCTTTGACCATCACCTAAACAGGTGTATTAGTAATTTGATTGTTACTAAAAGTGAGTCAACTTGTGACTAATCCTCCTCGTGAATGAATTTCAATTTCGAGAAAGATTTGTGTCAGTTACGAAACGCAGGATGTGCACACTTCTTGTACAAATGTTTACAACCGTCCACTAACAAATTAACGCTATCTCTGGAATTCGAGTGCGATATGTCAACTCTGACAGTGTTTTCTTGTTGTTTGTACGAATTTTTTTGTATACAGAGTGAACCGGTTCAAAATTGGTTTTGTAACGGAAACCGAACTGCCAAATTCAGCAACGATTCGCTGTGATAATTGTCCGGAACAGATGATGCCTTTTATCGATCGGTCAGTTTGTTTTAAAGGTTGAAGTCCGGACGAAAATGTCTAGACTCGATGTAATTATTCTTACGTGGTCGGTGACAATTTTTAATTTAAGTCAAAAGTGCAATTATATCATTGATTGATTAAATTCGTGGCATTTTAATCAACATAGCGATTTTCCTGGTAGGGCTTATCGGTGGGAATATTTTTTGACTCACTGATATCGAGATATCAACACAAAAACATTCGTATTTATTTATTATCACACCAGATAACTTTCACAATTTCTTTTATATAATTAATTGAAAACTTTTTAATCGTTTATCTCATATTCCAACAGCAACAATTTCCACCGTTGTTGTTAATTGAAATTTAATTAAACATCGACATTTGATAATTGATAAATTAACGTAAATGGAATACATACACACGTCAAAGATTACGAGTAATTTAGTTCTGAGAACAGCACAATGATACTCATCATAATCACTATGTTATTACGATTACGAAAATTATTCATTCAGAAAATTTACAATTTCTCAAAAGCTGACTGTTCTTGTTATTATTTTCGTTTATGAATATTTATGGCTTGATTCATTAATTTGTTTGCTAATTGAAAGCAAAGTTACTAAAAATTTTCGTCTTTTTTCAAGTAAAATGCATAAATAATATAAATCAAAGGGTGGATCTCTTAAAAGTTGTTTCAATTTATTCAAAAACCTTTATATGTCGAAAAATAGTTAAATGTCCTAAGTAAAAGTTTTACCTTCAGCCTTGTCTCTTTTGCTGCTTCAGCAATTTCTTCAGCATTCGACATTTTGCACTACCAACTGCACTAGTTGTTATGATTCCGCAACTTGTAAAGCGTCCTGATTATTTTGTTCATTTACTTGTTAGTTGCTCTTTACTTTCGATCTGAATACTTCTAAAATAGTACGTATATGTTTTTGGGGTGGCTAAGTGGTAAGTAATATACTATTTACTACATTTCAAAGAACGAATTTTACAAGACATAATTAAACATGTTTTTCGATAAAACATTGAGTTACCAAAATTACTGAAAACAAATTTAATTTTTAATTTCTCACCTAAATTAATTATTTTTTCTTTAAATCCGAAAAAAACTTATTTGAATTTGTTAAATAGTTATTTTTGGAAGCGTATACAAAAAACAAATTGTAATAACTTAAATGTGAATTATTTTTCAAACATTCGAAAGGGGAAATTTTACAAAATATTCAACAATTTTATGTATGTAGGTATTACAAAATTTGTTATAAACAGAATTGAATTTGCATTTTTTGGAATAAAATAAAAATATTATACTTTGATTTTTAATGTAATTTTATTTTTGTAAAAATTAATAAATTGATACATAACGTAAGCTCAAAGATTTTTTTGTTTAAAATGATATGTAAAATAACCGTAATAGTCCATAAAGTACTCCTAAATAGTCAGTGATTTGAATAACTACGTTCGGCAAAGCTTCACTTTCACTCCTAATAACCTAATATACTATTATTTTACTTATTTGTAAATATTATCCAAATTTTATGCCTACTTGAAATGCAAAACTGTGCATTGTGTCAGAATAATTTAAATAAATATTTTTATTGCTAATATCAACACATGTGCATCATTATGCCGAATGAGATTATTTACAATTGTCATTTGCAATATTGATGTAATTTCCCGGTTGGTTAAATTTAGATTCTTACTTGTTTGTTTTTAAAGAGTGATCGAATCGGTAATAAAATTATTTATACCCATACATGGACATGTTTCATTGAGGACTTACATAATAACGGCTTTACGTGATTTATAGTGACGTGGTTGAGGGCAGTTA